ATTCACAGATGTTTTTCATTTTATTGTGGGTGATTTTTTTCAATCTTTTCCTTTACAATCTGCTTTCATTCTGCCTGTTTTGTTAAGAAATCTCTCCAGACTTTGAAGTAATCAAAATATTCTGTCTCCTAACATATTTAAAGTATTATCTTTCTGTAATACTGGTGCTCTTACCTTCTGTAATACTTTTCAGTAAGCTGGTTGCTCAGGCAGGGATCACTCCGGGGGGAGATTGGGGAACCATGTGGTGCTGAGGGTTGAACCCAGGATTCCTGCATGCAGACCACGCCTCCACCTCTTTGAGCTTTCTCCCCAGCCCCATCATATTTAGATCTTTAATTCACATGGATTTTATTTTATTTTATTTTTTGCTTTTTGGGTTACACCTGGCGATGCACAGGGGTTACTCCTGGCTCTGCACTCAGGAATTACTCCTGGCGGTGCTCAGGGAACCATATGGGATGCTGGGAATCGAACCCAGGTTGGCTGCGTGCAAGGCAAACGCCCTACCCGCTGTGCTATTGCTCCAGCCCCCTGGATTTGATTTTTTTGTATATGATGTGCAGGAGGGGGTTAATTTTACATCGTTTTCTGCTGGTTGACCTATGTTCTTAGCATTTTTTGATCAAACCATCCATTTTACCATCTCTTTCCCTCTTCCAAGTGGTTTAGGCAGGTAGACAGGGAAGGGCCCCTCCCAAGGCAATGGCAAAAGCCAACCTTGCAGAAAACAGAAAAAAACAGGAACTAAGGCCTGATAAGACCCTCACCTGGCACCAGCAACAGATCCAAAGAAGCTCCTGCAGGAACAAAAAGCCAGGAAAGCAATGTCAAAGAAGACCATCACCATTACCAACCCCCCTGGTAACCTCCTTAGCAACAGACTTTTACTTTTACAGAGGTAGAAGCCCTTGTGTAGGCAGGTTGGAGAAAGCCTATAAAGGCCACTTTGAACAAAGGAAGGGCGTGCATATGCTGCCCCAGCCCCTGTGCTCCTTGTGCCCACGTGGCCGAGCACATGTGGTGTCCCAGCACATGTGCCGTCCGCATCTCCCCTCTTGATATGTGCACCTTGAGATGTATACTTTTATGTCTAATGCCGGGATGTGTGTAGGGGCTCTCTCCGCCCTTGGAGAGGCCCGTGTTCTCTCTTGAGTGTGTTACTCTCTCTCTGTCTTTCTCTTTCCTCCATCTCTTCCCCTCCACACTTTCAAAACCTGCAAATAAAATCTGTTTTACTTCACTGTTTGTCTACTCCTGAAATTCCTTTCTGCGAACGAGACAAGAACCCAGTAACCCTGGGTCCCGGGTGGCAGAGGCGGAGAGAGAGAGAGAAAATCTTACTCCTCCCCACTCCGCATGAGCCACCCATGGGGTCCACTGACAACACAAGAGAGATATTTTCTCCACTATGTTTTATTTTATGTTGTTTTGGGACACACCTGGTGATGCTCTGTGCTTACTCCTAGCTGGGCTCAAGGAACCATATGGGGTCCTGGGGATCGTACTTGAGTCAGTCGTGTACAAGGCAAACGCCTTCCTCAGTCCAGTCCTCGCCACCATGTTTATATGTGGCGGTTGGTTTCTGCTTTGTCTGATTTGCTAGCATACTTATAGAACATCTGAAGGGGGTTGAGGTAAGGACATAGGTGTGATTGATCATCTACATAGGTAAACATGTAGCAGAAATTCTTTTGGGGAGGTCAACTTAAGAAGACATCTACATTGTTTTTATCTTTCCCTCTAGTTGTATAAGTTGTCAAAACTTGCAGTTGTTTGGATAAACACAGTAAGAGACAAAGATCCCAACACTTAGTTCTCTGGGCTGAGAGCAAGCAAGGCTTTTAACACTTAACACTTAGTTCTCTGGGCTCTGAGAGCAGCAAGGCTTTACCGTAAATCCCAGACGAAGTCCTCAGACCAGTTCAGCTTGTCCTTTACCATGGGGGTCCTGTCTCTTCTTAGAATGTAACAGCTTGCATCAAGACCACGCATTTATACTTTCTAGAATGTCTCATTAAAATGCCAGGTAGCTTTGCCACTCGCCCCAGGTCCATCCCAGTCTCATGGCAGGACCTCCCTTTTCGGGTGTTAGGAACTACAGCAACTAAAGCCTGAGTCAGGTAATTATGATCAAGTAATTATGCCCAGGAGCAGATATATTTCAGAGTTAATCAACTCCCAAATATTAGGAGCATAACATTAATAGTCTTTCTGTATTAAACCAAAGAAGAACATTGCTCTATAGTAAAATATAAAATACTATAGGGGAAATAGAAAAGCAGGTATAAATATACAGCACTTCCGATAGCACAACAGGTAGGGTGGTTGCCTTTCGTGTAGCCAGCCTGGCCGAGCCGGGTTCGGTTCCTCCACCCCTCTCGGAGAGCCCAGCAAGCTACCGACTATCGCCCGCACGGCAAAGCCTGGCAAGCTCCCCGTGACGTATTTGATATGCCGAACACAGTAACAACAAAATCTCCAATGGAGATGTTACTGGGCCCGCTTGAGCAAAATCAATGAACAAGGGGAGGACAGTGTTTGTTTGTTTCAAATTCAAAGTGGTACAAATACGAAGTTCAGAATTACCAGAATGGGCTAGAGTGATAGAACAGCGAGTAGGGTGTTTGCCTTGCATGTGGCCGACCCGGGTTCAATTCCCAGCATCCCATATGGTCCCCTGAGCACTGCCAGGAGTAATTCCTGAGTGCAGAGCCAGGAGGAACCCCATGGCCGGTGTGACCCAAAAAGAATAAAAAAAGAATTACCAGAAAGTTTTGGCTTATAAGTAATCAAGACTGACTTGGGGAACTGTGACATGAGAGGTAGAATACAAAGGAAAGCTTGAGGATAAACTTTAACCAAATTAGGGATGCTAGCAAGAACATGTTAAGCCTCTCTGGGAAGAAGAAAGGGGACAATTCACTGATGAAGTCTAAAGCATTTAGGGTTAATATCCAACCTAAAGGAAAGGTTGAAGATAGACTTTAACCAAATTAGGGATATTAGCAAGGGCATGGTAAGCTTCTCTGGGAGGAGGAAAGGAGCAATTCACCAGTGAAGCCTAAAATACTTAGGGTTGATATCCAACACACAGGATGCAATTGAGATGGTTATGCAGTGTTCACTGTACAACCCTTTGTTGTCTATACTTTTCTAACTTCTCATAATAAAATATTAAGGCAAAGAGTGCCAGGGCTCATAGGGCCTTGGTTGTTTAAGCAGGGGATGGTTTTTCAAAGGCTCGAGTTTCAGATGAGCCAGTTCCTAGCAGCTTCCACCTTGGAGAGGAGGAGGGGTTTTAGGACAAGGGGTGAGGGTAGGGCATTTGCCTTGCACATGGTCCACCCGGGTTCGATCCCCGGCATCCGATATGGTCCCCTAAGCACTGCCAGGAGTAATTCCTGAGCGCATAGCCAGGAGTAACCCCTAAGCATCGCCGGGTGTGACCCAAAAAGAAAAAAATATTTTAAAAATTAGGACAAGGGGTGAGACCATCTTTCTGGATGACACCAGAAATTACTCTAGTATGGTGAGACAGTATGGTGTATGGGGGTATGGTGAGATAGTACCATCCTATCACACCCATTACACAGCCCGGGAAAGACTAGCTGAAGCCCCAGCCGGTGGTTCCATTGGGGAACTGTACCTGTATTCTCAGTCTTACCAAGCAGATACAACCCGGTCCCCTCAGCTCTTTTGGAAACCTTGCCTCCACCTCCCCAGTTTGTCTTCCCATTCCAGTCTCTGGTTTCCTTCACCCCCCCCCCTTTTTTTTTTCTTATTCTCTGGTTTTCTAACTCCTTGAATTTGGGCTAGAGTGATAGCACAGTGGTAGGGCGTTTGCCTTGCGTGTGGCCGGCCAGCCCGACTGAGCCGGGTTCAATTCCTCCACCCCTCTCAGAGAGCCCGGCCAGCTACTGAGAGTATCTCACCCACACGGCAAAGCCTGGCAAGCTACCCATGACACATTCAATGTGCCAAACACAGTAACAACAAGTCTCACAATGTAGACATTACTGGGCCCGCTCGAACAAATAGATGAACAAGGGTGCTTTGACAGATGAATGACAGTGCTTTGAATTTGGTTTGGTGGATAAGGGCTAGAGTGATAGTACAGATAGGGTGTTTGCACTCCAAACGGGTTAGATCCCCGTAGGTCCCTTGAGCCTGCCAGAAGTGATTCCTGAGTACAGAGCCAGGAATAACCCCTGAGCACTACCTGGGGTGGGGGTAGGGGGGAGCCCAGGGAAGAAGGTGCAACGCAATGCACCCCCTAGACCTCTCTATGGGGACACTGGGTAGTTGCGAATCAAGGGCTGGTCCAGTGGACCCTGTCCCGCGCAACGTTACCTTCCTGTTCTTCTAGGGCTCTAATCTTGTCTGCATCTCTTCAAGACGCCATTTCCCACGATCTGGGGGGTGGGGTAGGGAGAGAACGGGGTGGGGGAGAATATACAGCGGGCAAAGCGCTTGCTTCCCACGAAGCTGACCGGGGTGAGATCCCCAGCACCCCACATCGCCCCCCGAAGCCCCACCAGGAGCGATCCTTGAACGCAGAGCCAGGACTCAGCCCTGAGCACCGCCCAAAAAGCAAAAACATAAACCTAGTGGTCTAAGAACAAAACCAAACCCATCTCTCTGGGTCTCCCCTCTGACATCCCACGGGCTGCGAGCACCTGACCCGGCCCATCCTGAACCCCGGCTGAGGCCCCCAGGGCTCTCTGCGGCCGCCAGGGGGCGCACGCGGCCCGACCCGAACGCGCCGCCGAAAGGCCGAACGCGCCGCCGCGAGGCCCCGCCCATTTCCCTCGGCGCCCCGCCCCGTCCGGCCTCGGCCCCGCCCCGCCCGGCCCCGCCCCGCCCCGTCCGGCCCCGGCCCCGCCCCGCCCGGCCCCGGCCCCGCCCCGTCCGGCCACCGCCGCCGCCGCCGCCGCCGCCGCCGCCGCCGCCGCACTTCACAGCTGCGCCCCGCGTGCCCGAGACCCCTGACGCCCGGTCCTGTCTGTTCGCCGGGTCCCGCCATGGGCCCCGCCGCTCGCCCCGCGCTGAGCTCGCCCGCGGCGCCGCCGCCGCCGCCGCCGCCGCCCTCGCCGCTGCTGCTGCTGCTGCCCCTGATGCCGCTGTGGCTGGGCCTGGCGGGGCCCGGGGCCGCGGCCGACGGCAGCGAGCCGGCCACCGGGCTGGGGCGGGGCGCGGCCCGCGCGGTCCGAGTGGACGTGAAGCTGCCGCGGCAGGACGCGCTGGTCCTGGAGGGCGTGAGGATCGGCCCCGAGGCCGACGCGGCGCCCCCGCTGGGCGGCCGCCTGCTGCTGGTGAGCGCCGTATGGCCCCGCGCCCGTCGCCGAGCGCCCCCCGCCCCCCGCAGGCTGCCCGGGCCCCCAGCACTCCGGCTCCCCACGCCCGACACCCTTCCAGACTGGCGCTCCGACCGGGTCTTGCATCTCCTGTTTGTTTGCCGGAACCCGCCCGCCCCACATTCTCTCGTCCCCAGATGGACGTCGTGAATGCAGTGGACGGCGAGGAGAAGGTGCCCGCCGACGACTGGATTGCGGTGGCCTACGTGGGCAAGGAGCAGGAGACCCCCTTCCACCAGGAGAGCCAGGGCGGCGGCCCTCAGGCCTATCCCAAGGCCCTGGTCCAGCAGGTGCTGTGGCGATGTCTATCCGTGAGGAGGGCAGAAGAAGGAGTTTCCTTAGGACCAGACCCTGGGGTGGGCCCCTGCACCTTCCAGAGATGCCCCAAGCCAGGAACAGGAAGGGACCCTGGCTTGGAGAATAAGTCAGTTGTGGTATAGAGTGAAGAAAGGAGGTCAAAGAGTCGGGCAAGTGGACCAAGCTGAGCTGTGTCCCCGGCTTTGGGCTGGGAACCAGGCAGATGCAGCGTTGTTGAGATCCCACAGAGTTGACAGGGGGAAGGCAGGAGGACTTGGTTCCTGCTTTCGGGTCACTGAGATGGTAGAGGAGTCAGGTGCCCGCTACCTTGCGTGCGCCTACGCTGGTTGGATCCCCAGCTCCGCGGATGGGTGCCTGAGCACAGAGCCAGGAGTGGTCCCTGAGTGCTGCTGGGTGTGTCCCCCAAACCAAAGCTAGTCAAAACAGTTTGTGCCCTTGACCCGGCAGTGGATCCCAGTTTGTGCAGAGGCGATACCCCTCTAAGCAGAACACAGCAGGGCAGACCGGGGTGTGAGCAGGGGTACCCTCATTTCCTTTTCTGTCTTGCAGATGCGGAGGGCGCTCTTCCTGGGTGCCTCTGCCCTGCTTCTCCTCATCTTGAACCACAATGTGGTCCGAGAGGTAAGCTGGGCCGGGCTGGTTGGGAGGACGGAATGCTCAGGACCTCTGCTGACCACGCTGTCCCCCTCCAGCTCGACATCTCCCAGCTGCTCCGGCCCGTAATCGTCCTCCACTATTCCTCCAATGTCACCAAGCTCTTGGAGGCCTTGCTGCAGTGAGTTGAGTCTTGGGATCCGGGAGGGCCCCTGATTGGAAAGATGGGTCACTGGCTCACCTCTCGGAAGAGCAGGGGATGGCTTTGGTTCAAAGGAAGCCATCCGCCTGAGTAATGGGCTCCTTCCTGCACAGTGCAGCTCAGAAGTGTGAAACTAGGAAGGAAAGAGGAACAGAACAGCGGCTAGGGGAGACCTGGTGGGGTCGGGGGGAGGGCTGGGGGGGTGATGGTGGGGGCCCACCGGCTCCCCTGTGCCTCTGACGCAGGAGGACACAGGCCACTGCTGAGATCACCAGCGGAGAGTCCCTGTCCGCCAACATCGAGTGGAAGCTGACGCTGTGGACCACATGTGGCCTCTCCAAGGATGGCTCCGGGGGCTGGCAGGACCTGGTGTGCCTGGGAGGCAGCCGTGCCCAGGAGCAGGTGGGTGCCAGGGCCAGGCAGCTTGGGCAGGGGTGCACCCGAGCCTTGATGCCAAGGACAGCCTCATCCATCTCCCCGAAGCACATGAAGTCAGCATTGCTGCTACTGCCCAGTCCTGTCTAGAAGCTTCCTTTGGCTGTAGAAACTTGACTCCTGGATCCTCTGTCTATTTTCTCTTGTTTTGGGGCCACACCCAATAGTACTCAGGGCTCTACTCCGGCTTTTTCTGAGGCAGGGAGGCTAGGGAGGCCTTGGGAGGGCCATGCCTGGCAGTGCTCGGGGGCTGTTCCCAGCTCTGACCTCAGGAGTGACCCTGTCAGTGCTCTGGGGACTATATCTGGCACATGGGATTTGAGCCAGGGTTGTAGCCACTACAATGCATGCAAAAGCAAGTATCTTTACCTCCTGTTTAACCTCTCTGACCCCTCAACTCTTGTTTTGTTTTTTGGGTCACACTTGGCGATGCACAGGGGTTCCTCCTGGCTCTGCATTCAGGAGTTACTCTTGGCGATGCTCAGGGGACCATATGGGATGCTGGGAATTGAACCTGGGTCAGCCGCGTGCAAGGCAAATGCCCTACCCGCTGTGCTCTCTCTCCAGCCCCTCTACTTTTGACTTTGTGCTCAGGGTAAACTGTGAAGTGCTGGGGATCAAACTCAGGCTTCTGGTGTGCAAAGTATGCACTTTAACCCTTGGAGCTCTCTCCCTCTCTCCCCAGTCCTCCTGGTTTAACTTTTTTTTTTTTTGGTGGGGGGCACACCCAGTGGTGCTCCTGGCAGTGTACCACTGCGGACTACCTGGGAATCCAACCCAGGTTGAATGTGTGAAAGGCAAGCATCCTGCCAGCTGTACTGAGTTTTTGGGTTTTGGGGCCACACCTGGCAGTGCTCAGGGTTTACTCCTGTCTTTGAGCTCAGGGATCATTCTTGAAGGTGCTCAGGGGGACCATAGGATGTTGGGGATCGAACCTGGATTGGCTGTGTCCAAGTGCCCCACCCACTGTACTATCACTTTGGCCCTATGTTATTCTATCTGTTCCCTATGTTCCCTATGTTTCCTTTTTTTTTTTTAATGTAGGAGTACTGCTATTTATTCAGCCACTGATTAGGCTGACTGAAGCAGGCATGAATTCCACATTACTTTTTTTTTTTAATGTTTTATTGAATATCTCTGAGATAGACCATTACAAAGCTGTTCATGATTGGGTTTCAGTTATCACCATCCCCAGCCTCCCTCTATGACAGGACTTTTCTTCTTTCTCTTTTTTCTTTTTTACTTTTTGGGTCACACCCGGCGATGCAGAGGGGTTACTCCTGGCTCTGCACTCAGGAATGACTCCTGGAGGTGCTCAGGGGACCACATGGGATGCTGGGAATCGAACCTGGGTGAGCCCTGTGCAAGGCAAGGGCCCTACCCGCTGTGCTATCACTCCAGCTCCTCTTTCCTTTTTCTTTTGTGCATTATGGTTTGCAATACAGGTACTAAGAGGTGTTTGTTCAGGGCACTCATTATTTTTATTGGTATGGGAAGGCTGGGGTAGCTTTTTAACTGGGTGGCAGCCTTGGAGTATGACTGCTGAGACTTCCAAAAGTACAGGGAGGTGGGGGAAGGAAGTCCGTCCTGATCCCGAGAAAGCCTGGAGATTTCAGTCACAAAACTCACATGCCTGAATCTTCAGCAGATTATGTCTCCGTGAGGTCCGTCCTGAGATGGTGGAGTAAGGCCAGGGGTGTGGCAGTGCTTTTGGATTGTGGAAGCGAGCGGCTGCCGGGGGCTCTGCTTGGGTGGTGACCCACCCCCCTCCAGTTTACCCTGGTCTGTTCAGCCTTGCACGGATCTGAGATTAACTGTGGCTTTTGATCTCTTTTGAGATTTATTTATGGGTCTCTGAAGCAAGGCCGGTAGTGGAGCTTACATGGTGGTGCTGGAGTTGGTTCATGCGGGGGGTGACTGCCAGTGCTTCCTTCCAGGTGTATAAGGGAAGTTGGGGGAGGCAGCCCATCCCAACTCTGAGGAAGTCTTGAGATTTCAGTCACAAAAACCGCATACCCGAATTTTCAATAGGTTTAATACCTTGGTGAAGGTCTGTCCTGTGATGGTGGAGTCTGACGGGGGGCCCAGTGGCAATTGTGGATTGCGGGAGCAAGCGGCTGCCGGGAGCTCTGCTTGGACAGGCTCCACGTTAAACCACCTCCCCTCTGACTTACCTTGGTCTGTTCAGCCTTGCACGGGTCGAAGATTAACTGTGGCTTTTGATCTCTTTTGAGATTTATCTATGGGTCTCTGAAGCAAGGCTGATAAATGAGCTTGTACAGCTGCCAGAGGTGGTTTGTGGGCATGGCTCCCACATACCTAACTTTTGACCGTTTCTCGGGAAACATGGTCCCAAGTTGGTGGGATCCAGCCAGAGGCTCAGTGGCAATTTTGGGGTGTCAGGAAGTCTGAAATCAGGCTGCTGATGCACTCGTCCCGCAGGTACAGGTTGACCTGCTGGAGGCACCATCCCCCCTTTTTTTGTGGTTGTTTTAGGACTACCCCTGGCTCTATACTCAGGTTTTGGGGGACCATATAGGGTGCTAGGGGTTGAACCCCAGTCAGCTGCATGCAAGGCAAGTACCTTACCCACTGTATTATCTCTCCACTCTCATCCCTGGTTGTTTTGTTTTTTTAAAAAAAATCTGTAGTTTTTGGACTACAGTAATGGTGCTCAGGGTTTACTCCTGGCTTTGTGCTCAGGTGTCACCCTTGGTTAGCTCAAGGGACCATATGGGGTGCCGGGGCTGAACCAGAGCCTGTTGCATGGCAGTTACCCTACTGCTATACTGTTGCTCCAACCCGTTTCCTTTCTTAAGCCTCCTCCTACACTGGCCGCTCTGCCTTTCACTGATTCGGCACACACCCCCTCTTGTCCCTGACTGTCCGTGCTTGGCAGTGGTTGTCGACAGCCTTTTCCTGTGTGTCTGTCTAGTCAGAGCCCTCCCAACCCCTCCTGCCTGCTTGCTCTGGAAAGGCCTCCCTCACACCCTCTGCTCACAGCCCCTCTCTCTGTCCTCAGGGACAGCTAGCCTTCCCCAAACTCCTGGGACAGCCCCTTCTGAATGAGTGTTGAGGAGAGGGACTGTCACCTCTAGGCCCAGGCTGTGTCTTTGTCATGAGAGTTCCCATCCCAGAATCAAGAGATTTCTTTTTTGGGGGGAGGGGGGAGGGAACATCCAGTGGTGCTCAGGCTTATTCCTGGCTCTCGGCTAAGGGATCACTCCTGGTGGGGCTCAGGAGACCATATGGGGTGCTGGAGATGGAACCCAGGTCTGCTGCGTGTCAGGCACGCGCCACTCACTGCACTCTCTCTCTGGTCCCTGGAATCAAGAGGCTTCAAAAGGACGGTCTGTTTGCGAGGTCTCTGGGCTGTGGAGCCTGGCGGCTACCAAGTAGAAACTTCGAGTGTGTGTATGTGTGCGTGTGTGTGTCTGTGTGTCTGTCTGTCTGTGTGTACATCCACGTGGGGGCCCAAGCGAGGTTGGCGCAGAGGACCCCTGTGGGTCGCCTCTGTGTTGGTTGGGGAGCACTCCAGCTGGAGCTGGGAGCTTCTCCCTGGAGCTGGTGGGGGAGGGGACTGGCTCACCGCTGACCCACCTCCTCTCCCCAGAAGCCCCTGCAGCAGCTGTGGAACGCCATCCTGCTGGTGGCCATGCTCCTGTGCACCGGCCTCGTGGTCCAGGCCCAGCGCCAGGCGTCACGACACAGCCAGAGGGAGCCTGGCGGCCAGGTGGGAGCCAGCCCTGGGGAAGCCCCCGCGCCCCTGCTTGCCCGCCAGCCTCCCAACTAGACCTGCCTCCCCCCGGCAGGTGGACCTGCTCAAGCGCCGCGTGGTGCAGAGACTGGCCTCTCTGAAGACCCGGCGCTGCCGCCTGGGCAGGGCCGCCCCTGGGCCCCTGGAGCCAGGCGCCGAGACATGCGCGGTGTGTCTGGACTATTTCTGCAACAAGCAGGTTTGTGTCTGGGCAGTGGACAGCTGGGACACATGGTCACACAAAGCCCTCCCTCTGCTCCCGACAGCCCTCAGCTCGGTCCCAGTGGTGGGGGGGTGTTGATTCCTGGCTCCCCCCTGAGCCCTCCCCTCTCCCCAGTGGCTCCGGGTGCTGCCCTGCAAACACGAGTTCCACCGTGACTGCGTGGACCCCTGGCTGATGCTGCAGCAGACCTGCCCGCTGTGCAAGTTCAACGTCCTGGGTGAGTCCTGGGTGAGCACTGAAGGGGCGCCCTGGGTCAGCTCCGCCTGCTCCCTGCCTCCCCGCCTCAACCTGTCCCCTGTGTCCTTCCCCCCCGTTCTACCCCACCCCTGCAGGGAACCGCTACTCAGACGACTAGGAGCCCCGGCTACATCTCTGCCCATGGGGACCTCTCCCGACGGCACCCCAGCGCCCCTGGCCAAGGCGTCAGGGGGGCCCCTGACAGTGGGGCGGCCAGAAGAGGAAGCGCATGGGTGGGAGGAGCGAGCCCTCCCCTGCTGAGGACCGAGGGGTTCCCTTGTATCCATTCAGAGACAGGGGGGCCACATCCTAAGATGCAGGGCCCAGACCTTCCAGTCAAGGGAGAGGGCACCTCCTCTGTGACCCTGGGGTGTGTGTCTCTGCCCCCTGTGGGGAGTGAGTGTGGCCAGGGCTGCCCCTTCCCAAGCTCTGTGGCCTGCCTGGCAGCGCCCCTGGGGGCCCAGGTTTTGTGCGTTATTTATTGGAGGTCGGGTTGGGAGGAGCCCTCTGGCTCGGAGGCCCCCCGGCCGGACCCGTCTTTCAGGACACACTGGGTCAAGGCAGCGACGTTGAACCTAAGGGCTCCTCCACTGCCTGTAGCCCTGTCTGCAGGCGTTGGATCTGGGGACAACAGGCCTGAACCCCTCTCTGGCCCCTGCCGCTCCGCGGTACCCAGGCCGCTAACCAGGATACTTGAAGCCACAGGAAACGTGGTGCATCTTCCAGGGGCATCTTTGCTTTGGGTTTTTTTGTTTGTTTGTTTTTAAAGACTTGGGGTAAGATGGGGAGGTTTAATATGAAATAAATACGGATATATTTTAGCAGAAGATGTGAAAAACGTGAAATGTTTCAAGGTAAACAAGTGCCCATGGGCCCTACTGCCTGTGGGAGGTGAATTCTAAAATGGCTGGGGTCCCCCCAACATCCCGGGGAGCCTGCCCCTGCAGTCCTGGGGGGTCCCTAATGACTTCACGGCCTCAGTGAGGTCTGTCCCACAGCACAGCTGCCCCGGAGAGCACATGTGAGCAGGCCAGTGTGAACCCCATGCACCTGGGAAGGGGGAATGGGGCGCATGGGGGGTGCAGGTGAGAGGGACACTCACCAACTGGAAGCTGGAGGTGGCCCCTGAGCTGAGGGGTGGGCCTCTGCCCACCATAGAACATGCTGGCAGGCAGCTGTGTCCCAGGGTGGCCAGGAAGACCGGCCACCTGACAGAGCCTGGGATGGCAGCCTCCCCAGCCCCGGGGGGCCATCACCCCCCCAAACTGCATCCGCCCTGAAGGAGCTGACCTGGGAGGCGACAACTAGCTGCTCTGGGCCGGACTCTGCTTCAGGGAGCGCCCCCCCCCCCCCAGGTCCCCCCGGCTGTCCTCAGTCTCCCTCGGGAAGCCGCAATGCGCAGAACCACGTCACTTCAGCTCCACGGGGCCCCCCTGGGCCCTTCTCGGTCAGTAGAGATGCCCAGAAGCCTCAGCAAGCCCTTCGAGTCTGTTCTTCACAGGAGGAGGCAGCTGGGCGACACCCCCGGGGCCAGGCCTCAGAGCCCTGGGGCAGGCGGGGTGTGTGTCCCACTCTTAGTGGGCCCCATTGGGTGACCTGGATGTTGTCAAACGCTGAGACTCAGGTTCCCTGGAGGGAAGGAGCTTCTCAGGGAGAGCCCACCATGGGGGTCCTCAAGAGCCTTCCCGGTTTGGAGCCTCGGTTGGAGGCCCCAGGTGGGAGCCGGGCCAGTTGGCCTCTGCCTTCCTCCCGAGTCCAGAGCCAGGAGCCCAGTCTTGGTCGCCTCAGACAGGCCTGGCGGGGTCCCCAAGCCGGCTGCTGAACCTCCGCTTTATGTCTGAGCATCACTGAGGCCATGTCAGCCCTTGGCCATTGCTACGGGGATGAACAGACTGCCCGTCACTGGACCCACGTTCTAGAAATTTCTTTCTGCCTCTTCTCTTGCTGCCCCTGCCGGCAGGAAGACAGGAAGCCTCCGCTGGCCAGTAACCCCCAGGGCTAGAGACACAGTGGATCCTGCCAGGTCAGGGCGGGAAAGACCCTACCCCCACCACAACCCCCCACCCCATGCAGCCAGCATTGAGACCGAAGCCGAGGGGGCGTTGACAGCTTGGGTTTTATTGCACTGAGTGAGTCGCCAGCCTCCTGCCCTGCCAGGCCCCCTCGCTCCACTGCTCCTAGGGCGGGTGGGTGGAGCCCACCTGGCCCCTGTTGGGCGAGAGTCTCCTCCTCAGCCTGGCCAAGGCCCGGATGGGGTTGTGGGTGCATGTGGTGGAGGGCGTGGCTGAGGGGGCCACGTCTTCGAGGGAGGCCCTGCTGGGCTGGTAGCTGCGCGGGGGCAGCGGCGGGGACCCGAAGCGGGGCTGGCCTGGCAGGGTGCGGCCCGAAGAGCTGCCCGTCCGGCTCCCAGGGGAGACCCTCCTGCTCAGGGGCCTGAGGGAGGAGGAGGAGGTGAGGCCACCAATCGGGGGTACCCGCCCGGCCCAGGGAAAGCCTCACTCACCCTGGGGAGACCCTTGTGGCCTGGGCGGGGGGTGACGCTCCCTGGATCCCCTTGCTGGGGGGTGGCCAGAGCTGGTCCTGCGAGACCATCTGCAAAGAAAGGCCAGCTCAGAAAGGGGAAGCCCTGCCCCCCGCATAGGTGGGGTGTCCTGTCTGGACGGTGGGTGCTGAGGGGCTGGACGCCACCTCTGAGGGCCACCACACTGCAGGGAGCATGGGAAGGGAACTACACTGTCCTCACACCCTTTTTTTTTGTTTTGTCTTGTTTTGGGGTCACACCCAGCTGTGCTCAGGAGTTACTCCTAGCTCTGTGCTCAGGGATCAGTCACTCCTAGTGGGGCCCAGGGGACTATATGGGATGCTGGGATTGGACTTAGGTTGGCCAAGTGCAAAGCGAGTGTCCTAACCGCTGCACTATAGTTTTAGTCCCTGTCCTCACACCTAAAGCCTTGGGCTGAGGAACCCCCTACACACATACATACCTGCACGTACACACACACACACACACACACACACACACACACACACACACACACACACGTGAGGTGGCAGGCTCGCCATAGGTCCCCAATGGGGGTTTCTAAACACAGTCTCTGAATGAGGGGACTTCTTCCAAGCCCCCAGCGCCCTCTCTCACAGGTGTCGGGGCCAGGCTGCCCACCTTGAGGGCCCCCTGCTGGGCCACCTCCCGGATTTTGGACAGCATGGACTCAAGCCGCCAGTTCTCCTCCTGGAGGACCCGGATGCGGATGCCGTTGGCCTGTACTTGCCTCTCCATGTCGTCGGTGACATCGCCGGAGCCTGTGGGGATACGACATCTGGGATCTCGCCCTGCCAAACTTCTACTGCGGGGTCAGTGAGTCAGGCACTTGGGGCAGCTGGGCTGGCAGCTGAGTGCCCCTGGCCCAGCGGCCTCCCATCCCTTCCCCCCGAGGCCTTGTGACCCCTGCCAAAGCCTCGCCTGCTGGGAGGTGACCATGCAGTAGATTTGAGGCGGCACCAAGCACTCACTTTGGACATAAGGAGCAGGGCTGGGGAGAGAGGGCTGAGCGCCTGCTTCGCATCTACTCAGGATGGATCCCCAAAACCACACAATCCCTTAAGCACCAGTGACCCCCAAACGCAGAAGTAGGAGCACCCCCCCATACCACTAGGTATGGCCCCGAAACAAAACAGAAAGACTTAGCAAAGAGGCCTCCTAGTGCCTCTCTCAAGAGCCGTCACAGCCTGCCGGCGCCGAGGTCCTTGGAACCCCCAGAACAATCTTTCTCATACTTCGGGGCGACATCTCCATGGCTCTATGAACCAGGCACATGGTCGCCCGCTGGTCTGTGAGAAGGAGCTGCTACCTGCCTGGCAGGGCAGTTGGGTGACATCATGCCAGGTCCCCCGCCTGGATGCCCCCATAGCAATGGGTTCCCCCAGAGCCGAAAAGACCAGGCGACCTGGCACCCAACCCTCCACTGAGGCAGGTGCTGGGCACAGCTGTGCCATGTTATCCGAGAGGCGGTGGCATGGTGCCCCTGTGGTTGGCCCTGTGGTGCCATCTGGGGAGACGCCAGGATGGGTGATGGGGAAGCCAGCAAGGATGGGTGTGGCAGGGTGAGAAGCACCCGAGGGTGGTGAAGGGTCCTCACCTCTGGCACGGCCACAGCCCCATCTACACCGAGGGGTGGGGAACACCGGAAACGTCTGTATGTGGTTCTGGAGGGTCGGTCCCGCCAGCCGCTCCCACTCTGCCACTTTGGCTGCAGGCCCCAGGGTGAGCCCTGACCTTGACCAGGCCCCTTGCTGCCCCCTCCTCCGGCCCTGCGCCCCTACTTTGGATCTGGGTCTCGCTGGGCCTGTGCAGGTCCGGGAAGGCCACCAGCAGCCGCTCGCGCTCGCTCCGCTCCCCCAGCTCCCGCTCCAGCTCCGAGATGGTCAGCCGCAGGTCCGTGGTGGTCCGCTCCAGGTCCTGCTTCTCCCTCTGCAGGCTCTGCAGCAGCTCCTGCGGCACAGGGCAGCTCGGGCCGGGCCTGGGGAACAGCTCCCTGCTTCCTGGGGGGGGGGGGGCGCACCCTGCCCCTCCTCCCAGTCTGCAGGATGCCCGCGCCCCCAGGGGCTGGCTGAAGGCGCCCACCTGCTGGGCCTGGAGCTGGCAGCGCCCCTGCTCCCTCTCGCTCTGCAGGGTCTGCAGCTGCCCGTCCACCTGGGCCCGCTGGGCCTCGGCCTCGGCCAGGCTGCCCTGCAGCTCCTCCCGCTCCTGGTCCAGGCTGTCCAGCTGCTGCAGCAGAGCCCGCTGTTTGGCCTGCAGGGACTAAGCGGGACGGGCAAGCCAGGAGAAATGTGAGGGGCTGGAGCGATAGCACAGCGGGTAGGGCGTTCGCCTTACAAGCAGCCAACATGGCCGACCCGAGTTCGATTCCTCCACCCCTCTCGGAGAGCCCGGCAAGCTACCGAGAGTATTCGATATGCCAGACAGAGTAACAACAAAGTCTCCAATGGAGACGTTACTGGGCCCGCTCGAGCAAAATCACCCCCTTTATAGAAAAAAATTTTTCTCTTAGTGGAAATCTGGAAGTCTACCTTTTTAAAGCAAACTGAGAGAAGTTTCTCCCAAAAATGCACTTTAGGTCACTGCTGGCCCCCAGGATGTTCCATCATTCCTGCTTTGGGAAACCTGACCTCGGGACAGGGCATCAGCCCATGCGTCAGCCCCCAGGGCCTCCCACCATCTCTCACTGCCTGAGGCACAGCTGTGTCCTGGGCTGGCCCTCTGCTCTCCTCGGGCAGACGGACCACTGCCAGCCATAGACCTCGACTTCAAAAGCCACCTCCTCCTTGAAGCCTTGTCTGGAGTCCCGTAAAGCAGAGGTGACTGTCCCCTGGGGGGCCCTGGAGGGTGCTTGCTCTTCATCACCTGGTGGGAGCTTTGTGGCTCATCTGCTCACCCCTGCCAGGTGGGGGGGGGCTACTCCAGAGCAAAGCCCTTAGCTGCAGGTGTCCCTGTGTCACTGGCCTCCAGTGCCTGACTCCAGAGAGGGGGCATCAAACGGACACCTGGGCATGCAGGGGGCCAGGTGCTTACCCCAGGTGCATGCCCCCTGCCACCCCTCTGGGCAGCCCTCTTCCCTGCAGCCTGTGCCCGCGGTGCTGGCCTCACCTCCTGGTGGCGGACCATGCTGTCGACACGGGCCTTCTCCTTGTCCAGCTCTGTGCTGGCCCAAAGGATCTGCTGGCTGGCCCCGTCCAGCCGTCCCGACAGCAGCTGCACCTGCTCCTCGAGCTGCCGCACCTGCCGCTCGGCCTCCGCCCTGCGCGCCTCCTCCTCCAGCAGCTGCTGGGCCTTCGTCTCTGCAGGAGTCAAGCAGCCTCGCGAAGGGAGGCCAGGGGAGCCCTGGGGTGAGGGGGGAGTCCTGGCACCAGAGAGGGCAGCCGGGGTAGGAGGTGGAGGCGTGTCCACAGCCCACTTCTAGGCTTCAGGGTCTCAGCCACCCAGTGACTTCACACAGACGGTGGCCTCCAGGCTGGACCCTCGTCTGTGGTTCCCTTGACTCAGGGAACCCAGCTGGGAGGCGCCCATCCAGGAGGACCGCTGGGCACAGGGCCACGAGGGGGGTCCTCACCCACGTCCTGCGTGGTCTCCCGCTGCTGCTTCAGCTCTCCCTCCAGCGTGGTCACCTTCATCTTCAGGTCACTTGTTTCTGTGGGAGCCAGGAGTGGGGCCCTTCAGGGGTGCCTGGGGCCCTGGTGGTGATTCTCATGTCCAGGGCTCTGCGTGGAGAGGCCACTGGGCTTGGCAGGGCAGCTCCGGGGAACCCCATGTGCCCAGCTTGTCCCTGACCAGCTGCGTGTCCCTGCACCTCTGGCCTCAGTGACCTCCAGAAGTCCTGGAAGTCTGTGACTTGCCTGAATCCCAGGCTCAGGGGTGCTAGGCAGTCTCTACACAGCTGTTTTCATAAAGCCAAGGAGGCCACTCTACTCAGTCCAGGGGTGCAGGATGGACACCGAGAGTCACCCCGACAGAGTCCCTGATCTAATGGGTCAACTTGGAGCATTTGGGTTTTATTTTTTTTTTGGGGGGGGGGGGACACCTGACAGTGGTCAGGGCTTACTCCTGGTTCAGCATGCTGGGATCACTCCTGCAGGGGCTCAGGGGACCACAAGGGATGCTGGGGGAGCGAACCTTGGTCAACTGCAAGGCAAATGCCCTCCCACTGTACTATTGGGTCACACTTAGCAATGCTCAGGGGTTACTCCTGGCTCTGCACTCAGGAATTACTCCTAGTGCTGCTCGGGGGACCCTATGGGATGCTGAGAATTGAACCCGGGTCGGCCGCCTGCAAGGCAAACGCCCTCCCCGCTGTGCTATTGCTCCAGCCCCAAGCTTTTTATTTATTTCTTTTTTTTGTATATTCTGGGCAGTGGTTCGGTTCCAGGGACCCCTGTGGGATCAAGTGCCAATGGGCAGCCTCGGAACCAAGCTGAGCAGCACCCACCTTTCCGCGGCCTCTTCCCTGCGGCTCAGCCCCCTCCCGCCGGCGAGGCCGCACACAGCGTGGCACCAGGACACTGACCTGTGAGCAGCCTCTGCTGCTCAGCCTTGCAGGCCGCCTGGCGCCGCTCAGCCTCGTCCGCCTGCTGCTGCCGCTCGCCCTGCTCCTGCCGCAGCGCCTGCTCCAGCTGGCCCACCCGCTCCCTCAGTTCCTCCTTCTGGGCCTCGGCCTCCTCCAGCTGGGCCCGGAGGGGGCCCACCAGCTGTGTGAGCGCCCCCACGTGCTTGCTGAGGTGCGTCAGGTCTTTGCTCTGCTCCGTGGCCCACTGGGCCATGGTGGCTGCGGGCAGGGGCCTGAGCCCCATGCTGTCCTGCACGAGTGGCTGGAACTGGCCGAGGGCCGACGGCAGGTTCTGGCTCTTGCACAGGCTGATGAGGACCTTGCCCACCTCCTGCAGGCTGCCCTGCACACGGGCGCACGCGTCGCAGGGCACCAGGGCCGTCTCCACGGTCTGGCAGTGGACACTCCGGGGCTCTTCCATGGTGGTCCTGGCCGCAGAGCACGGGGACACTCGCCCGGGGAGGCTTTCGGGCTCCTGGCCGGCTGGGGACAGGCCAGGCCTGGGGGTGGTGGCCTTGAGGAACTTGGCAGTCACCAATTCGGGGCTCCTGGCTGGCTCCCCTTTGGCTGTGGGCTTGGAGGTGGGGGTGTCCCCTGGGTTTGCCCTTTTCTGTGGTCAGGAAAGAAGGGGAAAAGAGGTGAGGGTGACCGGTCGGGAGGGGACTGCTCCCCCAGGAACTGTCGTGTGGCCTCCCAGGATGTCTGACGCCAGCAGGAATGGGAGACGCTCCTTCTTCCTGCCTCAGCCTCAATTTACCAAGTCAGGCCTCCCCTCTGCTTCCCCCCACACCACCCCAATGTGACACAGTCACATGCGCAGAGTGTGTGTGTGTGTGTGTGTGTGACAGGAACAGCCCCAGCCAAGTCGCCTCGTGTTTACTGCACTCACTCTCATGTCACCAAAGCTGCTCTCGTTCTTTTCCTTCCCATCCTGTTGAGAGAGGTCTTTCCCGCCGGGTGGCTGTGAAGGTCACGGGGTAAACTGTCACTGAGTGACCACCCAGCCATGCACCGAGACGGGCAGTGCGACCACTCCCAGGGGAGAGACGAGCAGACTGAAGCTCAGAAAGGCAAGGGCCATGCCAAGGGCCCGAACCAGGGAGCCCAGCCTTGCCCCCTGCAGCCAATGATGCTAACTGGGGGGTCATGAGGGCCTTGATCAGAGGTTCCAGAGTCCACTCTGTTCCCTGGGATGGCAGGCGAAAGACCCACATGATGTGCTAGGAATCTGGCCCTGGGTAGAACGGTGGGGGTGGGGGATGGCCAGTGTGGGGGGAGGGGTGCAGCAGACCCACCTGGGGGGGCATGGGCTGGTAGAGCATGCCCAGTCTCAGCAGGCTGTTCCAGAAGCGCCGCACGGTGAGCCCCACGGACATGCAAGGCCCCACGGCTCGGGCAGGGGGCATCACCTGCTCAGAGCCCAGGTTCTCCAAGTAGCTGGCACAGCTCTGCAGCAGCAGCAGGAGCCTGCAGGCAGAGAGGCCAGGGTCACCTGAGGACGAGTCTGGCACAGGGGCACCCTCATGCCCCATAACAGTGGCTTCCGGTTCTGGGAAACTGGCCCAGGCACCAGGGACTTGGATGCCTCTCAGGATGCATGCTGCCTGCCCAGCTTCAAGCCCAAGGCCACTTCCTCCAGGAGGTCCACTCGGGGGCATCTGCTGGGCCTTCTGGTGAGTTCTGTCCTGCTGTTCACCACTGGCCCTGGACACTCTAGGGCCCAGGCCTTTTCTCCACTGGCTCCCACGTGCTCTGGACATGCTGGGCCAGTGAACGCCTTCCAGAGTCTGGCTGGGTGCCCTTGCACACAGTGGGCAGAGAGGAGCACCCAGTGTCTCGGGGTGAGCATTCCTGGAAGGGGAGCCTCTACTCCCTCGAATCCAGCCAAGGGCTTCTCCAGCAGGCCACGCTGCTTATGCGCAAACCCAGTTAGGGCCCCAGCCTAACCTGGGAGCGCAACCCTGGAGCCAGGTGCTAATCTCGAGCTGTGGCGAAGATAAGCATGGATCTGTACACAAGCCTAGTCCGGGGAAAGGAAAGGTGCCATGTGCACAAAAAGTGCCAGGCAGATAAGGAGCCTAACCCTTCGGGAGGCGTGTCCCGAAACCACTGGCCTCGTTGGGGGATATGGGGAGTGGAGAGAGCTGACGAGAGCATGTATCTGCGATCTCTGGGACCAGAGACTGCAGGTGTCTGCTGTGTGTGGGGACCACATGCCATGCCCGCAGCAACACGAAAAGGCAGTACACAGGGAAAGAGTCTAGAGAGAGGGCAGAGGTCTAGAGCACGGGCCTTCACAGGGCCATCGTTCGCCTGGAAACAGAGTGCCAGGTGGGGAGATTGCCCTGTACCCTGCACCACCTTCATCCCCAGAGCTGATCCCACCTGACGTAAGCTGAGAACTTCCAACTGCCACATCAGCCACCAGCTGTAGCCTGGGTTCCTGTGCGGTGGGCAGATGTGCCCCCCTAGTCTCCCAGGTATAAGGGAGGAGGGGATGGAAGAGGAAGTGACGGGCCAGTGGGCTTGGTGGAGGGATACTCTTACTTTAGTGGTGGTTGAAGTGTGCTGAGAGACTTTAAAGAGGTGTGAATTGTACCCTTAAAACATATCAAGGGGCCAGAGTGAAAGTACAATGCATAGGGTGTCTGCCTTGCATGCGGCCAACCTGGGTTCAATCCCCAGCATCCCATATGGTTCTCTGAGCACCACCAGGAGTAACCCCTGAGCATTGCCGGGTATGGGCCAAAAAAAGAAATAATATATATAATGAGTCTGGCTGATGCTATAATATAGCAAGTAGGGCACTTGCCTTGCATGTGGCCGACCTGGGTTTAATCCCCAGCATCCCATATGTTCCCTGGGCACTGCCAGGAGTAATTCCTCAGTGCAGAGCCAGGAGTAACTCCTGAGCATCACAGGTATGACCCAAAAAGTCAAAAAATAAAATAAATCAAGTCATGTAAACAAAAGTTACTGAAATTAAATACATTTTAGGAAAGGAAAAAAAAACAAAAAAAAATTTAATAGAGGTTCAGGAATAGCTCAGTGGCAAAGTGCCTCCCTCTGTAAGTGTGAGGCCTGAAATCTGATCCCTGACACATGAGCGCGCACACACACACAGGAGCATGGATCTTTGGGCTCCCCAGTGCCACAACAACCAAAATGTGCATGAACACCTCTAAAGAGGGTGACCCCCAACACACACACACACACACACACACACACGCGAATCCCAACCAGGGCGGGGGTGTGCTACCTCTGGGCAACTCAATGACAGCAGAAAGAGAAGGGAATGAGGGGTTGCCTCCAAGGGAGGCAGCCCTCGAGTATCACAAGGAATGGTTCCCGAGAAGGTGGGGGAAGAGTAACAAAGGAAATATTGGGGCTGGAGAGATGGTACAGCGGTTAAGGTGCTTGTCTTGCTGCTTGATCCTTGACACCACACAAGGTCTCCTCAGTCCCACCAGGAGTGATCCCTAAGCACAGAGCCAAGAGAAAGCCCTGTGCCCTGCAGGGTGTGGCATAAAAACCCCTCCCCCAAAAAGGAGAATTTAATGTACTTATAGGCTGGGGCCAGAGAAATGGTACAGGAGTTCAAGCCCTTGCCTAGCTTTCTGCCAACCTCGGTTCAAATCCTTGGCACCTCATACGGCCCCTCGAGGAGGAGTGATTGTTGAGCACCAGGAGTGATTGCTGGGCAGAGTCAAAAGTAAGCCTTGCGCACCAATGGTTGGGGGGGCAAACCCTTCCCTCCCCCCAAATGAGTCCAGGCCTAGGGCGCTGATACAGGGATTGGGTCTCTTCCCCAGGATCCTGCCATCCCCATTTCTAATCCCCAGCACCATACATGGACCCTGGGACACAGCCAGGGTTTTGGGCCCAAACCTCCCCCCAAACAAAAATTTAAAAAGAATTTTTAAAAGAAAAACTAGGGGGGCTGGAGCGATAGCACAGCGGGTAGGGCATTTGCCTTGCTGACCCAGGCTCAATTCCCAGCATCCCATATGGTCCCCCAAGCACCACCAGGAGTAATTCCTGAGTGCAGAGCCAGGAGTAACCCCTGTGCATCATCAGGTGTACCCAAAAAGAAAAAAAGAAAGAAAGAAAGATAGAAAGAAAGAAAATAACCAATTAAGAAAGGAAAGTTTCAAGGGCTGGGGTGAAGGAAATGGGGAGGAAAAGGCCTTGCAGGCAGGGGAGCAGGGGGCAGCAAGGGAGAAGGGAGCAGGCTTCCTTTGCCAGAGCACTCCTCGCGGCCTGGAAGGCAGGGTGTTCTGGGGTTCACCACACCCAGCCCCACAGAGGGTACAGCTGGACTCTTCACACCTGTGGCTTCCTGAACCTCCATGGGGTTACCCTGCCTTCTCTGTCTCCCCGCAGAGAGCCTGCGCCACAGGCCCTCGGAAGCAGAAGGCTTGGGACCTTGGTGGGGCTGTGGCCTCCTCCTGGCAGGGCCAAGGCTCAGAAAACATCCTGTGCCTGGCGCGGGGACGCGGCAGCCCTTGGGCTGCCAGGAAAGAGCCTGGGATGGAAACTCTGATCTGCAGCTGTGGGTTCCCACCACCCAGAAACCCTGGATGCAGCTGGCGGAGGCCAGAGAGGAAGCAATCAGCACTGTGGGCTGTGGGCGACTGGGAGCAGCCGGGCAGTCAGCGCCTCCCTGAGGGCGGCCAGGCTAGAACAGCAGAGCCCAGCACGGGACACAGGGAGGTCACCAGGAGGTCACCGGGAGGCTGCCTGGGACCCCCTGGGAACACAGGCGGTTCAGGTGTTTTCTCTTTGGGGTGTGGAGGAGGGGATTGGGTCACACCTGGCTCCTGATGGTGCTCAGGGCTTACTTGGTGCTCATCCTGGCAGTGCTCATGGGACCATATATGGTGCTGGGGATTTGAACCAGAATCTGCCAAGTACAAGACAAGTGCTGTAACCTTTTGTTTGTTTGCTTGCTTATTCATTTTGGGTTGGTTTTGGGGCCAGGAATTACTCCTTGGGTGCTCAGGGGACCATATGCGAGGTCAGGGATCAGACCTGGGTCGGCTGCGTGCAGGGCAAACACCCTCCCTGCTGCACTGTCACTCTGATCCCTGCTGTAACCTTTGTACTAGTGCAAGGCACGTGCTGTGACCTTTATGCTGTCTCTGGCCCAGTGTGCACATGCCCATCAAGTTCATCTTCTTAGTGGCTGGGAGATAGAGTAGTGGTTAGGGCGCATGCTCTCCATACAACCGACCTGGTTCCTGGCACCGTGACTGCAGTGACAGCCGGGAGCAGTCCTGGAGACCCCAACCCTGCCCAGATTCTTCCCAGGGTTCCCCAGCAGGGCAGGGAAGCACGGCATCCCTGGGCCCCTCTACCGAACTTGGACCTTGTTGGCTGAAAACCGCCTGTGTGTCTCTGAGCCCTTCTTGGGAGGCAAAAAACAAACCAAAAAACTCAAAACTGAAAACAAAGCCACAGTCATCAACTTAGGGGCCTTCTGCAGCTGCTGCTGGTTTCAGAGGTGGGACCCAGCCGCCCAGGGTGACAGGGCGGGGGACAAAGCCGACACTATGCAAAGCAAGGGAGCACATGCAAAGCCTGCGGGAGCCCTGGAGCCTTTGGAGAGAAAACCCCCACCAAAGAGACTGGGTTTGGGGGCGGGCCCTTACCTGTCAATAACCAGCTCCAGCAGCACAGCGTGGGACAGCTGAGTGAACTCGGGGTCCCCGGGCACGTGGTCATAGTGCTCTAGCAGGGCCACCATGTCCAGGTCACAGGACACCCGATCCGGGAACTTCCAGGAGGGGAAGCGCACGGGTCCAGCCCGAGAGAAGACGTCCACGATGGCGCCCTGCAGGTCGGTGAGGTCCTTTCGAAGGCTGTCCATGCAGGCCTGGCTGCCCAGCAGGTGTGCCATGCTCCGACCCTTGGGGCAGGCAGAGAGCAGCTGTGTGGGCTAGTGGCCTCCAGTGGAGGATTGCGCCTAACATGTGAGTTGGTTCACTGGCTCCTAGGCCCAATGCCTGCCTGAGGTGCACGTTACAGATCTACTCCACGGCCTCCCAGGTCATCAGGCCTTTGAAACTTGGCGGTGGGCACCCGCAACAGCCCACTGGCCCCAAGCCAGCGTGTGCCTGTGTGTGCCAGGCCTCTGCTAAATACAGGGCGGATATAGCAATGAATGAGGAGGCACCTCCCGTCTTTCCCTCCCAAATGAACCTCTGCACTGGAAAACAACCACCCAAATAAGGTGGTTAGAGTCAGAGAAACAGCACAGCAGTTGGGGAGCTTGCCTTGCATGTGGTCATCAACCCTGATTCGATCCCCAGAACTGCGTATGGCCCCCAGTCCGGCCGGGAGTGATCACTGAGTATAGAACCAGGAGTAAGTGCTAAAGACAGCTAGGCTTCGCACTGCCTCCACCCCCTCCCCCCCTAAAAAATACCAAAAAAAACCCCAAAAAACAATTGTAAGTAGATAAAATAAAAACCAGCTGTTCCAGCAGGATAGGGGACACTGGGCCATGCCAGGCCACTGTCAGCTCCCAGCTGGAAACTCCAGCAGCTCCAGTTGGGCCACGGGCCTGCCTGCTGCAATCGGATCTATCTCTGCTCCAGAGGTCTGAGTCAAACCATATCTGACCAGGGCTCCCTGCGGCCTGCCTCTGGCTCGACACCCCCTCACCCCTCCAGCTCCGGGCTCCCCTCTCTGGCCCACGCACTGCCCTCCGACCACCATCAGCTACAAGCAGCAGCTCGTGGGCCAGGCCTCATGTCTGTATCTGAACCCACCCGCCCCTGTCCCTCCCTCAAACTTCTGTCTGGCTCCCATCACCTGGTTACCTCCTCTCATCCTCAGACTTCCCAGGTATCACCTCCTTCAGGAAACCTTCCTGGAGCCCCCTCCCGGTTGGGCCGGCATCAGCCCTCCACCTCCGTCCCAGCTGGTTTTGGTTGACGTGGCCTTCCCTTTCCTGGCTAAGTCCTCAGCCCTGCTCAGACACTTTGGCAGGCTCAATGGCCCTTGAATGCTTAGTGGCTGAATGCAGAAAAGAAAGAGAGCCCCCCGACTAAAACCTCATGGGAAGGGGGGCGTTTCGGTCCGCCCTTCACGCCCTACCGAGGCCACCAGTTGCCCCCCACTAGCGGCTCTCCAGCACGGCCACGACTCCAGAGCACAGAAACCAATTTCTTAACTATCCGACTTTCAGTAGAAATACTTCCAGGGTCAATAAGTAAAATAGCAGAAATCCAAAACCAACATATAATTCTTGAACCCAGCTGTAGAAAGCAAATCACTTCACAATGCTTTGTCAGCATGTCTGATGGGGGGGGGGGTAAACTCTAAATAATAGTGGTGAATTTTTTATTTAAACAATGAATCTAATCAAATCAGATAGAGTGTTAACTAGAATTCATCTGCCCCACAGGGACTGGGAGGGGTGGGGGGTGGGGTCTTATTGGGGTTCTTCATGGTAAAAAATAAGTTTTGGTAAAGGGAAATGTGCTTGATATTTGCATGACTGAGACCTAAACCTGAAAGCTTTGTAACCTTTCCCATGGTGATTCAATAAATAAATAAATTAATTAAAAAAATAAATAAATAAATAAAAATAAAAAAAATTTAAAAAATAAAAAAAAAGAAAGAGAGCCCCCAAAGAAAACAAGAGGTGCTTTGCCTTTTGGGGGAAGCAGGTCCTAAGGTGTAAGAGAGGACAAGTTGAAAATTTATTTCGACACCGAATCTTGGCATTCTGGTGACAGGGGCCTACTTGCTCTTGATACAGAGGATCCTAGCTCTACGCCTTCCTAGCTGTGTGGCCTTGGGCAAAGCTCTAGATCTCTCTGGGTCCAGCTATAAAACAGTCCCCAAGTAGGCCTGGTGGCTGTAAAGTATTTATTTCACTATTATTATTAATTATTATTATTAATTATTATTATTATTCATGGGCTGGAGTGATAGCACAGCAGGTAGGACATCTGCCTTGCACATGACCAACCCAGCTGACGCCTGTTCAATTCCTCCGCCCCTCTCAGAGAGCCTGGCAAGCTACCGAGAGTATCCTGCCCACATGGCAGACTCTGGCAAGCTACCCATGACATATACGATATGCCAAAAACAGTAACAAGTCTCACAATGGAGATGTTACTGGGCCCGCTCAAGCAAATCGATAAACGGGAGGACAGTGCCACAGTGCTATTATTATTCATATTTTTGTGTGTTGGTGTTGGGTATCCAACCCAACCTGGGCCCTGAGCCCTGGTGCAGAGGTGGAGAAGCAAATCCTGGCCCCTATTACATCTTGGCATGTGCCACGGGGTGTGTGGGGGGGGAATCAGCAGTCAGAGCCCGCTTTGCTCAGAGGTGGGCAACCGAGCCCTAAGGCAGGAGGCTCTTGTCCTTTGTGGGGGTCTTGAGAGCAGGCAGTGCTTCCTCTAGCTGCTCCCTGAAATGCTACCCTGGGGGGAAGGAGCCCCCCACCCCCAGCCCCCTGCATAGCCAGGTCATAAAACCAGGCCTGGCTGGGAAGCTTTGTTTCTCCCAAACCCATTTCTTTTCTTTTTTTTCCCCCCATTTTTTTGTTTTATTTGGGGACCACATTTGGCAGTTTTCAGGGGTTACCTGCTGTACTGGGCCCCCATAGGGGATGCCGGGGATTGAGCCCAGGTGAGCCACATGCAAGGCAAGCACCTTACCACTGTACTATCGCTCCAGCCCTTTCTAAACCCATTTCTGCCCTCTAACTTCTCCCATCTGGAAGGAAAAATCACCAAAAAGCCAAATCCTGCCACTTCCTCCAATCCCTTCTGCCTCACACCCATATCCAAGCACTGAGTGCTGCCAATTCCACACCCAGGCTGCACTGAGCATGGCCCCCTGCCATCCACCCACCCACACCGCTCCACACTACTTTCTCTCCCCCACCGTCACAGATGCCAGAGATATCCGTCTCTTTCTGCCTCACAACCCCCTGACCCCCACCCCATTACTCTGTACCTGGTAGCCAGAGAAATTTTTTTTTTTTTTTTGCTTTTCGGGTCACACCTGGTGATACTCAGGGGTTACTCCTGGCTTTGCACTCAGGAATCACTCCTGGCGGTGCTCAGGAGACCATATGGGATGCTGGGAATCGAACCAGGGTCGGCTGCGTGCAAGGCAAACGCCCTACCCGCTGTGCTATTGCTCCAGCCCCAGAAGCCAGAGAAATTTTAAAAAACAGCTCAGGGCGGGGGAGGCAACTCCAAGGGCTGAGTGTTTGGCTGCAGGCTGAAGTCCCAGGTTTGATTCCTGGCACCTTCTGGGAAGGGCCCCGGAGCCAGGAGAGGCCCTTGAGCAGGACCAGGATTGGACCCCAAACTAAAAATGTAGACATAATAAGTAAATAAAAGAGCGCCCTCCTATTCCTACCCCATGTGGTCTGCCCCACCCCAGCATCTCACCTCACCACATACCCTCTAGAACCCTCAGGCCAGGGAAGGGCCCGGATCTACTCCCCAAGACTCAGGGGCACATCCCGCCCAGCCCCGGGCCCCTGGCTCTGACACACACATTGCTTGGCCACCCGAGGCAAGTGCATGCCCCATCTTCTGAGCTGATTCTGCTGTGACCTGGCCGGTGGGGACGGTGGGGGGTGGCACATGGCGCTGTGCCCGCAGGTGCTGGGAAGCATCAAGGCCCTGGGGCTGAGGTGAGCCCTGGCCTCACCTCAGTGCAGGTGTTGACCGGCAGAGCTGCGTATCCTAGTGTGTCCAGGTCTCAGGGTCAGAGGCTCATTGTCCAGGGGCCTGGCTTCTTGTCTGTTGTGCAGGCCTGGCACCCAGCAGCTCTTCAGTCCTGGGGATGGGCGAAGAGGAGAGAGAGGAGGTGGGGAGGCACTCAGATGGATGTCCTGGGGGACAGGGCAGGAAGAGAAGGGAAGGGAAGGGCAGGATGGCTGTCCCCGCTTCGCTATTCCAGTTCTCTGTGCTGGACTATGTACTGTGGTGCTCAGACTCCTGGCTCTCTGCTCAGGTGCTGAGGACCATATATAGCGCCGGGGATTAAACCCAAGGTTAGCTCCTTGAGAGGCAAGCACCTAGCCTGCATTGTTTCTTCAGCCCCTAACATTCTAGTTCTGACTACAGGACCTCCTGGGTACCCCAGAGCTGCATCCCTTTACAGACAAGGAACCCCAGCCTGGGAAGTTAGGCAGCCCAAGGCCACTCGGAGAGCTTCGATTCTTTTCATTGAATCACTGTGCGCTACAGCTACACAGCTTTCATGTTTGAGTTTCAGTCATATAACGATCAAACATCCACCCCTCCACCAGTATACATTTTCCACCATCAATGCCCCCACTATCCCTCCCTCCCACACTATCCCACCCCTCCCCCTGCCTCTAGGTCAGACACTTTCCCTCTTACTTTCTCTACTTTTGGGCATTATGGTTTGCAATACAGACACTGAGAGGCCATCCCGTTTGGTCCTCTATCTACTTTCAGCACACACCTCCCATCCCGAACGATCCCTCCAACCATCATTGACTTAGTTATCCCTTCTTTATCCTAGTTGCCTTCTCCCCCGAGCTGCGATTCTTGATTCCAGCATCACTGCTCTATCCTCATGCCAAGTTGCCTCTCAAGGAGATTGTCCAAAGCACACATGTGAGCCACATAAGGCATTTAAAATCTTCTGCTAGGCATACTTTAAAATGAAAAAAGAAACATGTAGGGGCTAGAGAGAGAGGAGCGAGGGAGGGAGGGAAAAGGGGGGGTGAATGCACAGGGATGAAGGCTTGCCTTGCAATCTCTGGGTGCGGTTCCACATCTCTCCCCAGCAAAGAAATAATTAAATTAAAATGAATGAAGCATTTTGTTTAGCTGAGGCTACAGCTCAGCAGTAGACCACTCATCTTGCATGTGCAGGCCCTCAAACTCATGCATGTGTGTATGTGGGGGTGGGGGGGCAGGGATTGAGTTTACAAAAAAAGAGTGCTTTAGGGCCAGAAAGACAGCTCAGTGCTGGTGGTTGAACACAAGCATTCTATGTGAGAGACCTAGTTTCAATCTGTGAAACTGCACAGGTGGCCCCAAAACTGAAAAAAAAAGTTTAATATACCCCAAATAATATCAATTTCACCTGAAGTCAATATAAAATTATCATTATCTTTTAGGGAATCCACACCTGGAGTTGTTTATGACTTACTCCTGGCTTTGCACACAGGAGTCACTCACTCCTGGCAGTGCTCAGGGGACCATACGTGGTGCCAGGGATCAAACCCAGGTCAGCCACAGGCAAGGCCAATACTCTACTTGCTGTACTAACTTCTGGTCCCAGGAGGCTTTCTTTTTAACAGTAAGTCCCAGAATCCAGTGTCTAGCTGGGTTTGGATTTGGTTTGGGGGGGGGATGCCCCCAGTAGTGCTCAGGGGCTACTTACAGCTCAGTGCATCCCCTGGCAGTGCTCAGAGTGTGGTGCTGAGGACTGAGCCTATTGCTCCTGCAGGCAAAGCATGTGCTCTGCCCACTGAGCCATCCCTCTGGCCCTCCAGTGTCTATTTGATATTTACAGCACATCTCAATCTGTACTGGTGACCACTTGGCAATGCACCACCGGATGGGCTGGCAGCAGTTGTGTGGACAGTCCAGGCACAGAGGGTAAGCTGGTAAGCTGCTGCGGGTTATTCGCTCAGCAAATGACTAAGTATCTACCGAGTGATGAGCACTGTCATTAATAGAGTCGCTGAGCTGGAGAGAGAGCTTTATGGGCTGAATGTATGCTCTGCATGTCAGAGGCCTGGGTTTGATACCCAGAACCACTTGATTCCTCAAGCACAGAGCCAGGAGTGACCCCTATGCACTGCCAGGTGTGGCCTAGCTGCCTTTACCCCGACCCCCCAAAAAAGCATAGGAACCCAGAGGGTAGAGAAGGCTCTGACCTCTGGGAACCATCACCTGTGCCTGGGGGTTCTCTGCAAGCAGGATTCTTAGCTGTGCCAGCTCTCAGTGCCCTCCCCATGAGGGGTTTGCCCCCTGACACACAGAGACCCATATCCTGCACTTGTGTTGTCTGGGCAACTGCCTCTCAGAAATAACAGGGCTCATGGGATTTCATGTCTCCTGGGGCACGAGGCAGAAACAAACAGGGGGGAAAAAAAGAACCAAACATGGGTTTGCTTCCTGCATTGGGAGGAAGAAAATCAAGCCCACCCTGGACGGAGGCATCGGTGAAGGGTGAAGCACCTGGAGTTTGCTTTTGGCCACTTCAAAGAATACTGCTGCCCTAGAGGCCACCACAGATTCCAATTCCTGTTAGTTTCTGATTCTGATAAACAAAGTTAAGTGTCAAAGGATCGAAAACAGAAATGGAGGTCAGAGGGACAGAAGAGCAGGTAAGGCACTTGCCTTGCATGCAGTCCAAGTGGGTTTGATCCCCAGTGCCACATATGGTCCCTGGAGCACCACCAGGAACTGTTTCTGAGTGCAGAGCCAAGGGTAAACCTTGAGCACCACTAGGAGTGACCCAAAACACAATAATGACAAACTATATATAGCCAGAGATGTAGTATAGGGCTTAAGGCATTTGCCTTGCACAGCCAACCTCAGTTTGATCCCTGATACCATTTGGACCCCTGAGCATCACCCGTTGCTGCCCTCGAGGCTCCAAATACTGCCGGGGTGGCCCAGGTAATCCCTGGCACTGACGGACCTGAGCAGCACTGCATCCTTAGGCCTTTGCAGCGAACTGCAAGCCCCACTGGCTAAGAACCATCAGGTGGTGGCCCTTGCTTCTGGGCTTCCAGAGCACCACTTTGAGGAGGCATCCCAAAATCCAAAATAGGAGCTGGAGTGATAGTACAGAGGGAAGGGCATTTGCCTTGCACTCAGCCAACTCAAGTCCAATCCCCAGCGTCCCATATGGTTCCCCAAGCTTGCCGGAAGTAATTCCTGAGCACAGAGCCAGGAGTAATCCCTGAGCATAGCCAGGTGTGACCACAAAACCTTAAAAAAAATTCAAAATAGGAGCAACAGTTATGACACCAGGTATGGCGCTTGCCTTGCACATGGCCAATGTGGGTTTAATCCCCAGGACACCATATGGCTCACAAGGTGTGATCCCTGGATGCAGGGCTAGGAGTAAGCCCTCAGCATTACCAGGTATGGTCCCCAAACAAACAAACAGACAAACAAACAAGAGACCTAAAACATATGAAAGAGGGGGCACGGGAGATAGTTCAAAAGAACGCATGTGGGAGACCCTGGTTCTGACCCTGACACTACATAGTTCCTTGAGCACTTCCAGGAGCAATTCCCAAGCAATGACCCAGAAGGTGCCCCCAAGCACCACATTTAGGGTGGGGAGAGGAGAGGAAATTTGAATCACTGGTGGACGACACTGACCCTGGTGCATGTCTGGAGTTGGCTCACTGACAGCCTCAAACTGTTACCAATAGCTTCGTAAATAACAGTGAATCAAAACTAAATAATTTTTTAAAAATCAAAAGTCATCTTAAGGGACCAAAGCAATAGTACATTGGGTATGGAACTTGCATGTCTTACATGCGGCACACTTGGGTTTGATCCTCGGCATCCCACATGGTGCCCTAAAAACTACCAGGAGTGATCCCTGTGCATAGAGCCAGGAGTCGGCCCTAAGCATCATTGGCTGTGGCTCAAAACTTAGGTTATCCTAAGTTATTTCTTCTTAACACGGGCGTTCTAGCACACTGAAGCATGGTGTGAAGGGCAGGGGAGACAGTTCACAGGGCAAGAGAGCAAATTTTGCATACAGGAACCCCAGGTTCAGTCCTAGCACTGCCTGATCCACCAAGCACGGTCCTGTGCTCTCCGAGTACTCCAGGATACACCCTCCCACCTACAACACAAAAGCAGTCAAGGTCTGAGAACCACTAAGTATGTGTCAGGAGAAGGAGAATCTGACAAGGGCTTTCTCTGCAGGTGCTGGCTATGAGTGGAGTCCTCAGCCTGCATCTGTCCCTCCTGCCACTTTCCTGACATCACTGAGGTAACAGCACTGAGCCATGTCCCAAAGAAGGCAAAGCAGAGAACGCAGCCTCTCCTTGGCTCCAGTGAGCTCAGTGTCGACTCTGACTCACAAGGAGGGCAAGAGACTGGGCTTCATGCTCAGCATACAAGTCACTTCTCACTCTTGGCCCCAGGACCCTGCCGATCTGGCCAAGATGATGCCTAACTTTGGGCCAGTGTGCTTGCTGTAAAGCTCAAGATCACTACTGTGAAAATATTTTTAAAACACTAAAACTACATGCAGTGGCAGCTGTCAGTCTCTAAGCTCACTGTCTGGATCACTGGGCTATTGAGGGGGCTGAGGAAGACAAAGGTATAAGTGTAGAGAAGATGCAGGGATTCTGGGTGTGGGTTCTTACCCCACCAACTCTGAACCTCACCTTCCTCATTTCCTCATTTGCAAGTAACTTCTTCTTTTTCTTTTTCTTTTTTTGTTTTTGTTTTTGAGCCACACACAGCGATGCTCAGGACTGACTCCTGGCTCTAGGTTCAAGGATCACTCCTGGCAGGTTCAGCAGACCATGTGCGGTGCTGGGGATGGAACCCAGGGGTGCCAGGGATGGAACCCAATCTGTTGTGTGCAAGGCACGTGCCCCACCTGCTCTACTACTGCATCAGCCCCTGTAAATAACTTCTTACCAGAAACAAATTGTGTAAAACAGTGAATGTTTGACACCGTTGGGTAATGGTGATTGTTCAACAAGTAAATTTTAGCTATCATTACTTTGCGTTAGTAATAGTGCCATAAAACACACATGCTGGGGGAAAAGGCAGCTCAGATAGAGAAGGGAACACCAAGTAAAGGATGTTTGGAGGACTCACTCCGTATGCGAGAAGCGTGCTGAAAGTAGACTATAGACTGTCGAACACGATGGCCACTCAATACCTCTATTGCAAACTAGATCCTGAAGGAAAGTGAGCAAAAGGGAATGCCCTGCCACAGAGGTGGGGGTGGGAGGGCTACTAGAATCACTGGTGGTGGAGAATGGGCACTGGTGGAGGGGTGGGTACTCGGTCACTGTATAACTGAAACCCAAGCATGAAAGTTTGTACCTCATGGTGTTTCACTAATAAAAAAAATAAATGTTAAGAACTAGAAAAAAAATAATAGTACCATAAAATGCTATTTGCGTGGGAGAGCCGTGGGGAAAACTTGGGAAAGTGGCTCTTCCAATTACTCTTTCATTTCACAGATGAGAAAATTCCCATATTCTGGAGCTCGGTAGGAGGGGAGAGGGGCCAGGGAGGAGAGTATCCAGGAGAGGAAGCCGAGATGTGAAACACGTGCCGGGAAGTATCGGGGTGAGGTCTACCAGAAGCAGCTGGCTGGAGATGCTTCCGAGAGGTGGAGGGTCGACTAAGGCAGGCTCACGGGAATGACGGCTGGCACTTGGAAGGGGACTCTGGAGAAGCTGAGCCCGAAGCTTCAGGACACGGAGGTGCGCTCTCCAAAGTGAGCGGCCAGTTAGGTGGAAGCGGGGACCTTGAAAGGCGGGGTCCGAGGGAGCGAGAAAGTGGCCGGTAGAGTAAAGGGAGCAAAGCAGAAGGGAGGGTGCGGGAGGCGTTCGGCGGGTGATGGAGAACGTCTCACCAGGCTCCGGCGTCGCAGCTTCAGCCCCTGGGTCTGGTCGGCTCATCGAACTGACGCCGGCTCGCTGGCCGCCGCTGGAATCCCCAGCAAACCCTAGCTGGCGCCCGGCCGCTGCCACGGCAACGGCGTCGCCCGCAGCCCCGCCCTCCGCGGAGGACCGGAAATGCGTCGTGACAGAGCCCGCCCCCGGAAGTGCGTCATCCCCGCCGCGGCGGCGACGTGCTCGGCTGCCGCCATCTTGCGAGCCTGTCGTCCGGTCGGTGCCGGACGCTTCCTTGACGCAGCACCGTTGCCCGACCCGGAGGCGGACTGGCAGCCCTGAGCGTCGCGGTCATGCCGGCCGGACCCGTGCAGGCGGTGCCCCCGCCGCCGCCGGCGGCCGCCGAGCCCAAACAGGTACTGCGCCCCTGCCCCTCGCGGCCCGGCGCGCCTCCCGCCCGGCGGCCGGCCTCTCGCCTCGGCTCGGGCGGGACTGCAAGTCCCAGGGGGCCGCGCGCGGGCGGGACCGGCTCGCGTCCGGAGAGGGCCGGTCGCCGCACCGGGGACTGGGTCCGAAACGTGGGCCCTCGAACCCCGCCCCCCAGAGCTTCTCAGTCGGGGCTCGGCATTTTGAGCGAGGTCGCGGGGGGACGCGGTCGAGGTTGAGGACCGTCGGTCCGGCCCGCCCCGCGCCCCGCTGTGCACAGCGACCCCCGCTGGCCCCCGTGCCCCTGGGCCGGCTTGTGAATTCTCGGCCTCGACTCGGGGCTCGGCCCCAGCCAGCCGTCGCCCGTTACGGAATGAATGGGCCGCCAGCCCCGCCTTGGAAGGCGCCCCGCGGGGACACCGCCTTGTGCGCGAGGTTCAGCCTCCTGCCAGTTGCGCCGCGAAGTCGATTGCCACGGGCCACGCGGCCTGTCAACGGGCCTCAGGCAGCCGAGCGGGCAGTACGCGGGCGTCGCGGGTGTGACAGGCCCAGTGTGCGCGTGGCCGGTGGCCGGAGAGAACGGCGGGGGAAGGCGCAGGCCTTGCTCGCGGCCGACCCGGGTTCGATCCCTGGCACCCCGTATCGGCTCCCCAAGCTCCTCCTGGAGTGATTTCCCCAGGCACCTTCGGCTGTGCCCCCCCCCACACACACACACAAAGAAAAGTCAGATGCAAAAGAAGCAGTGACTAATGGGTAGAGAGAGATTAAGGCCGGTGAGATTCGCGGGAGTGAGAAGTAATTTGCCTTAGAACAGAGATTCCCAAACTTCTTTGGCGCTTTGTTTTCGGTTAAAAAGCGTACCCGCGCACATGCGTGTGTGTCAGTGTGTCTCTCCCCTGCTGTGTCCATCGGTCCATTCATGCCCATGTCCCATGTCTCCATCACCCCCTTAGCAATCTGCCTTCTTTTTTTTTTGTTTGTTTTCTTTTTCTTTTTCTTTTTCTTTTTTTTCTTTTTGCTTTTTGGGTCACACCCGGCGATGCACAGGGGTTACTCCTGGCTCTGCGCCCAAGGGACTATATGGGATGCTGGGAATAGAACTCGGGTTGGCCACCTGCAAGGCAAACGCCCTACCTCTGCTATGCTATCTCTCCAGCCCCTACCTTCTTTTTTCTTTTTTTTTTTTCCTTTTTGGGTCACACCTACACAGCAGAGTCTGGCAAACACCCTGTGGCGTACCCAATATGCCAAATACCAGTAACAATGATGGGTCTCATTCTCCTAAAGAGCCTTGAATATAATCTCAGGGCTAGGATGAAGGAGACGTTACTGGGGCCTGCTCGAGGCAATCGACGATTAACAGGATGATTTGTGATTGTGATTCCCTTTTGGGTCACACCTGGCGATGCACAGGGGTTATTTCTGGCTCATGCACTCAGGAATTACTCCCGGCGGTGCTCGGGGAACCATTTTGGATGCTAGGAATTGAACCCGGGTCAGTCGCATGCAAGGCAAAAGCCCTGCCAGCTGTGCTATCTCTCCAGCCCCACAATCTACCTTCTTTAAAGGAACTAAAAGTGTCCTCCAGTTGTTTCGTTTGTTTTTGTTTTGGGGCCTCACCCAGTGAGGCTGGGGGTGGGGGGATTACACCTGGCTCTGCACTCCAGGTGGTACTCCAGAGACCATGTGACTCAAACCCAGGTCGCCTGTGTGCAAAGCAAGCGCTATACCTACTGTTCTACCTCTCTGGCCTCCGACCCCATCCCCCAGTTGTATCTAAGGCCCCTACTGCTGCCTGGACCCCTCTAGCACTGCCCCAGTGCCATCTCACCCACTACTCTAGAAGGATGAATGAGAATATGTTGGGAAGGTGATTTGGGAAGGGAATCTGATAGATAAGGTTCCTGTCTTTTCCTCAAATATGTCATAATGTGTGCATAAGTATGTATTTATTTTTCCTCTTTGTTGCTGCGATGGTCAGGGATCACACGCAGGCTTTGCACACTCTAGTTGTACTGGCACACAGAGTGAGGCCCCAGGACCACCTCTCAGTCTCAGTGCTGTGGGGTGGCCCTAGGGACTGAGCTCTCGCTCATGCTTACATAACAGGTGCTTTTGCCACTTGGTTGTCCCAGCCCCCTCCACAAATAATGAAGTAGCTGTCAGTTCTCCTGGCATCTTTAACCAGGGAAGGTCACGTCCTACCAGAGGTAAATGCCAAGAAGCTGAGAGAGAATTCAGTGGCCTCTGCTCGAGGGTAAGCTGGGCTCTGTGCTCAGGGATCATTACTGGCAGGGCTTGGAGCAAAGCAAGCGCTATACCTACTGGCAAACACCCCGTGGCGTACCCAATATGCCAAATACCAGTAACAATGATGAGTCTCATTCTCCTAAAGAGCCTTGAATATAATCTCAGGGCTAGGATGAAGGAGACGTTACTGGGGCCTGCTCGAGGCAATCGACGATTAACAGGATGATTTGTGATTGTGATTCCCTTTTGGGTCACACCTGGCGATGCACAGGGGTTATTTCTGGCTCATGCACTCAAAGGGTGCAAGGGTGCCAGGGGATCAAAATCAGGTCAGCTGGGCCAGAGCATTAGTACAGTGGGTAGGATGTTTGACTTGTACGTGATGGACTCAGGTTTGATCCCTGGCATCCCATGTGGTCCCTTCAACACCACCAGGGGTAATTCCTGACTGTAGAGCCAGGAGTAACCCCTGAGCCTGAGCATCACTGGGTGTGACCCTTTAAAAAAAAAGTCAGCTGTGTGCAAGGTAGTGTACCATTGGTTCGGCCAGAGCAGAGGTTTGTTTGAAGAGTATCCCCACAGCCAGGTAACCCGGAAGGTGATACTTACATAACAGTTGATGCTGTGTATTTCTCCTGGAGTTTCACAGAGCTTTTGAGCGTTCTCCCGGGGTTACTGGGAAAGGGCATTGAGAGCCTGTTTTTTTTTTTTTTTTTTGGGTAAATTCTCAGAAGCCCTGTGCCAGGACGTCCCTGGTTGGGATGTAGGATACAGACATGGCCTTCTGGATTCCAGCACATAGGTATTTTTGTTTTGGGGAGGGCGGGGGTGCAGAACCACACCCAGTGGTACTTGGAGTCTGTTCCTGACTCTGTACCAGTCCAGATTGCCCCCTGGTGGGGCTTGGGGAACCATATGTAGTGTCGTGGATCCACTCACAGTCACATGCACACACGCTCCTTTGCCCTGCACCATCCTTCCAGTACCATCTCTTTAGCTCCTGGATGTGATTCTGTCAGCACCTCATCTCCATCTTAAGCACCTGGGCACTTGATAAAAATTCAGGTCTTTTTTTCTAGCTGGGAAGAGCCAAGGAGACTATCGTTTGGGGGACAGGGACCCCCAAACAGGGTGGTGCTCAGGATTGAACCCCAGGTTTTCAAATGCAGAGCATATACTTCATTTTTGCCCCAGGGCTGCTCTTTTCATGGGCTTCTCAGGAGAGTCTCGTGTAGGGTTAGTGCTGGTAAGGGAACCCCTCTTCCGGGTGCAAGGGTCTGAACCTGAAGAGCGTCTGTGGAAGAATGTCTAGAGTTCTCGAGGAGTTTTAGTTGTGGGCCTGCAGCTCAAACTAGCAACTTCAAACCCTTTGCTTTTCCTGTTTTCACAGCCTGCCGAAGAAGATGCCTCTTCAAAGGAGGATTCTACCCCTTCCAAGCCAGTGGTGGGGATTATTTACCCTCCTCCGGAGGTCAGGAATATTGTGGACAAGACCGCCAGCTTTGTGGCCAGGTAACCACAACTTTTGTTATGGGATAGATAACTGGTGGGTTTTAGTTCTCAAAAACATCTGAATCTGCACAAGGGTGGCAACTGGGTTTTCATTTTTGTTTTATTTTATTTTTTGGGCATGAGGGGTGTTGGGCCACAGCTGGTTGTGCTCAGGGTATCGAACCTGGGGCTGCGAGGCAAGTGCCTTCTCCACTGTGCACTCTCCCCCCTCTCCCTTCCTCTTCTCTCCCTTTCCCCCTCCTTCCCCCCTCTTCTCCCTCTCCTTCTCTCTTCCTCTCTCTCTCTCTCTCTTTCCCTCTCTCTCCCTCTCTCTCCTCTCCTCACTCTCCTCTCTCGCCTGCACTGGGGTTTTTAGAGGAAGTTGTAGGCTTAGGCCTGTAAGCTCATCTAGAATCGCAACATGCCAGTGAAGTAGGTAATGGGCAGGGGTACTACCCTCTCCTGCATAGCCTGGTAGTCGCAGATGGTGACTTACATTGGGCCCCAGAGTTCCCAGGAACCTGCTTCCAGATTGGGCTGGGAAAAGTCTTGGAAAGCAGTTTGGTCACAGGTAATATGTGTGTCTGTGTCTGAGCCCATGCCTGAGGAAGACAGAAGAGGGAGTTGGTCATATTATTGTGCAAGGACTGTGATCCTCAGAGCCTCGGATACCCCATCTTCACTAGGAGTGAGGTGCCAGTGTAGGAGCTCTGGGACAGGAGCTGACCCAACCACAGCCAGGGCCACCATGCAGGTGCTTACCAGCTTCTCAGCTGACTAGAAAATCAATCTTAGCACCTTGACTTCCTTGGATGAGATAGTCTGTCATTTGTTTTGATGGTGCCAGGATCATAACTAGGACCTCATTCCTTAAAGGCTTGTCCTCTGTCACTGAGCTACATCTTTGGCCCTGCAGATGGGATAGTCTTCATGACCACATTTCAGCCAAAGACTAAGGGCCAAAATGGTAGTACAGGGGGTAGGGCATTTGCTTTGCACGCAGCCGACCTGGGTTTGATCTCCAGCATCCCATATGGTCCTCCGAGCACCACCAGAGTAATTCCTGAGCACAGAGCCAGGAGGAAACCCTGAGCATCACCTGGTGTGGCCTCAAAACAAAAGGCTAACATAGTCCCTAGGTTAGGGTATATAAATACATAAAGTGTTCTTTTTGCAACTAGTAATCCTATCTGGCCTATAGACCTTTTGTATGTCCTCAGAATTTTTGGGGGGTGTGGGGAGAACATACCAAGTGGTCCTTGGGGGTTACTCGGGGATCACTCCTAGTGGGTTTAGAGCACCACGAACCTGGGTTGGCTGTGTGCAAGTCAAACACCCTTTCTGCTGTACTATTGTTCCGACCTTTTTCCTCACAATATTTGTAAATTTTATTTGGGTGGTGGCGAGTTTGGGGAATACTGTGGTGCTCGGGGGCTTCTCCCAGTTCTGTATTCTTGGATTGTTCTGGTGATGCTCTGGGGAACATGGACAGTGCAAGGAATTGAACCAGGGTTGGCCATGTGCTAGGCAAGTGCCTTAAGCCCTGTACTGTCTCTCTGGCACCACACTTTTGTTTAACAAGTTGAACTAGTAGCTACCAGATATAAGTGAGCTTGCACAATAAGTCTGGGTTTCTGACTTCTCTTGACCAACTGAACAATTCCCTCCGTGAAGCAGGAGCTGCCCTTACCCTAGGCTTCCTCCAGGCCATACTGACTCCTTGAGGCAACTTTCTCTCCTAATCCACTTAACAGTTGTTTCCTTCCTTCCCTTTTGTCTCATAAAACAAAACTTAGGAAGTGGTTACTCTGGTTGGTGTCTCACTATGTTGGTTCGAGACTCCTCCGCCTCCTCATTCAGAGTCTAGCTCACCTAGGTATTGATTTTACTCCTCTGGGCTTTTGTTTGTCATTTCATTATTTTGGGGTGACACGCAGGATTGCTCAGGGTTACTCCTGGCAGACTTGAGAGACCATTGGGATGCCGGGTCATCTCTGTGTAAGTCAGGTGCTCTCTCTGCTGTACTACCTCTCCGCTCCCATTTCTGGCCTCACCTGCCCCCCCACACACACACATTTTATTTAGGCACCATGGCTTACAAAGTTGTCATGATAATTTGTTACAGGCATTCAGTATTCCAACAGCAATCCCATCACCACTGTCCCCTTCTCTTCACCTCTGGGCTTTTTGATTGTAGTTTTTGAATCATACCTGGCAAGCTCAGGCTCCTGACTCTGTTCAGGGATCACTCCTAGCTCAGGATCATATGCTGTGCCAGGTATTGAACCCCAGCCAGTTATCTGTAAAATGAACTCTCTGCCCACTATACTATCTCTGTGACCCCTGCTCTGGACTGTTCAAAGGTTATCAGGCCGTGCTGTTTGAGGGTCCCAGGTTGTGCTTCACATAGATGTTTGTTTTATAGAAATGTTCTTGCTTCCCCTCTCCCCACCCTCAGAAAAAATACGAAAAGGGTGTTGGGGGGAAGTAGCGTCACAAGCTGCCGACCAGAATAGATCCTACCAGCTGTTTTCACTTTTTCCTGTTTCCTTCGGGCCTTGGCATCCTATTTTAGAGCCAGGGGATACTAGCAGGGATGCTTTCACATCCTGCTTTTCTCTTTCACGCCGTGTGGTAAGCGTTTTCCCCTGTTCCCTAGTGCTTAGTGCTCCTCCAGCGAGAGGATGCGCCCGGAGGAGGTGAAGGGCCTTCTTCCTTCCCCCAGATATCTCTGCTGGACTTTCCTTTGAGGGTGTTCCCGCCACTTCAGTTTGGCAAATGAAGACATGGGCGAGTATGAGTATGTTCTTCGCATTTCAGATGATCGCCTCAGAAGGAAATTCTGTGTGGCATTTTACTAGCTGAAGAGCCAAGTACTTTTCCAATGATTCTATGCCAGCTTCTGCTGCCACTGAAATAAGAGTTTATCCAAACCCTTGAAAATAAATTTGGGGGCTGGAGCGATAGTACAGCAGGTAGGGCATTTGCCTTGCACTCAGCCAATTCAGGTTCAATCCCCGGCATCCCATATGGTCCCCCAGGCACCACCAGGAGTAATTCCTGAGTGCAGAGCCAGTAGTACATCCTGAGCATTGTTTGTTGGGTGTGACCCAGAAAAAGAGAGGGAAAAAAAAGAAAAAAATTATAGGGCTTGAGTGACAGTACAGTGGGTAGGGTGTTTGCCTTGCATATGGCTGACTCTAGCAATCCCTGGCACCACATACGGTCCCCTGAGCACTGCCGAGTATGGCCTAGTGTAGGGGCTGGAGAGATGGGGTAGGAGATAATGTCCTTGACTTCCATCTGCTGACTTCATCCACTTTGATCCCTGGCACTGCATATGGCCCCCTTGAGCACTGCCAGGCATCATTTTTGAGCATAGAGCCAGAAAAATTCCCTGAGCACTGTGAGTGGGACTGAAAAAAAGAGAGGCTTATATGTCTACGTTTGTAGGTTTTGTTTTTGTTTTTTTCTTTTTTTTTTTTTTAATTTTGGGTCACACCCAGTGATGCTCGGGACTTATTTCTGGCTCTGCTCAGGGATCACTCCTGATACGGCTCAGGGGACCGTATGAAATGGCAAACCTGGGTTGGCTGCATACAGAGCAAGCACTTTGTACTCTTGCTTGGGCCTCTCTATTTGTGACCACGATGATCGCCCTTATGGACACATGTAAAATCCACGCTAGATGGTGCTCAGGGTTTACTCCTGGCCCCGAGCCATACGGGGTTCCAGGAATTGGATGCAGGTTGGCCACGTGCAAGGAATATACCCTCCCTCCTATACTATCTCTCTGACCCTGCAAGCTTTGTGTTGCAGTGAAGGCCTGGGCTAGCGTCTCTCTAGGATGAAGCAAATGATGAGGAAGGACCCTCTGCTTCACTTCTGTCCAGTTCACTCTTGGATAGAGTAGGTAGTAAAAATCTGCAACCAAGTGGATTTCCTAAAGGAGACTGTTTTTGCTAGATTAGGTCTTGTCTTCTCTCTATTTTCCTGACAGGGAACTGAAGTTGAAATTACTGTTGAAATGTTCCAGCAGCTGGGTTGAGTCAGAGTCATGTCTTTTTCCTGCTGAAAATCGACTCCTTGTGTTCAAGCATATAATTCTAAAGTTAGCACAAAGCTGATTTAGTGCAGTGACGTCACTCGGAATGAAGCCGCCTGCCTTCTCGCTGTATTTTAACTTTCAGATTGTTCCCAGATGTGGGGCAAGATTGTGGCATGTGAGGCAGCAGTAGAGGAGACCACCAGAGTCCCCTTTCCCAGCACTGTGTGTCAGCTCTGGGCGTGTGTGGCAGCCTAGTTTAGCAGTGTGGAAGCGTGCATTCCCTCGCCTTCTGGAAGGCGGGGGAAGGAGGGCTGCCATTCCGAGCCTGGGGTGAAGTAGGCAGCTTTCAGGGGCAGGCAGACTGAGGCCTCCTGGTGTTAGTCACATGACAGAGTGTGACCAGAACTTGCTGAGGAGCTCACCTGGGTGTCAGAAGCCCAGATATTGGTGGTGTTAATCTGGTGATGATTAAGCTGATGATGCCAGAGTGTGAAAGCCAAGGAGAGCGCAGAAGTCTGGCAGGTGTCAACTCTGAGGTGCTCCTTGGGGGTGTCGGGGCAGCTCTGAGGGCGGGGGTCTGGTTAAAGAAGAGACAACGCTGCAGGCCCCCCCGCCCCCCCCACACACACACACCTCGATGGCCCCTCTTGCCTTCACAGACCGTGGGGATGCCTTTACCACTGCTCCAGTATTTGGTCTTCCCAACTTTTGACTAAGGGAGCTGGCCTCAATCTTGAGCCAAAATACTTTTTGGGGTGGTGTGGGAGGCTGGAGTTGGTTTACACCTAGTGATGCTCAGGGGTTGTTCCTGGCTCTGCACTCAAAATTTGAATCCAGGCGGGCAACAATGCCAGACAGGGGCCCTACCCACTCTACTGTCTCTCAGGCCCCTTGAACTAAACTTTTAACAGTATTACTTTAATGGCTGTCTTATGCCACTATTTTTCCTTTAAAACTTGGACTGGAGAGGTGGTCCAAAGGTTAAAGGAGCTTGCCTTACATGCAGTCAACCTCGGGTCTATCACCTGCACTGCCAAGAGTGATCCCTGAGCACAGAATCAGGAAGGAGTAAGCCCTGAACTGAGGGAGGAGGAAAGAACCGTGGGGCGATGACTGGTGCAGATGGGGTTTTGGTTTTGTTTGGGGGCTGTACCTGCCAGTGCTCAAGTCTTACTCCTGGCTCTGCAGAGATTAATCCTGGCAGTGCTTGGGGACCATATGGAGTGCCGGGCATCAAACCAGATCTGCTGCTTGCAAGCCAAGTGTCCTGTCCGCTGCGCTCTCTTTCCAGCCAGTGCAGATGGTTTTGGAAAGAACAAACTAGAATGCAATGTAAACCCAGCAGAATTTATACCCAGCTGCTTGATTGACAGGCCTGAGGTTGGGGAGATGCTCTAAGGGTGGGGGTACATGGTTTGCTTCTTGGGAGTCCCAGGTTTGATCTCTGGCACTCACTGCATGGTATCCGAGCACTGCTGGGTGTTCTCCAAAAAACAGACTGAAGAAAGAAAGACAGGTCTGGGAGCGGGAGGGATTGAGCACGTCTGTGCCCGCTTGAGTGAGGCAGGTGACCCTGGCTGCTGATGCTCCTGGACTCCAGGAGGCCCTGCCGTGCTGGTGACAGACTGTTTTGATGGGTAGTGCCTCCAGGCAGTATTGGGTGGGGATTTAAATTAGCAGCTGTTCACTGCCACCCATTTCCTTTTTCCAGAAACGGACCTGAATTTGAAGCCCGGATCCGACAGAATGAGATCAACAACCCCAAGTTCAACTTCCTGAACCCCAATGATCCTTACCATGCCTACTACCGCCACAAGGTCAGCGAGTTCAAGGAGGGGAAGGCTCAGGAGCCCTCGGCCGCCATCCCGAAGGTTATGCAGCAGCAGCAGCAGGCCGCGCAGCAGCAGCTCCCCCAGAAGGTGAGCGCCAGCGCCCGGCTGTGTCAGGGAAGTGCAGGGCCGCAGGGCAGATCGCACCGCTTCTCCGGGAGCACTGTGGAACCTGAAGCTCAGACCGCACCATCCCCAGTGACCTGTGCTTGATGCTTTAGTGCCTTGCTTCAGTGAGCCCCCTGGGGGCTGCCCAAGCAGACCCACAGAGTAACCAGTTCACTGTTGAGGAATCTGAGGGTCTGGCATGAGTGGTTGAGCCTGCAGCGGAGGGAGCTGTAACTTGCCCTGACCTCTGTGGCATGGGAAGGGGGCAGTTCCAAGATATGCTGTGGGCCCGTGTTCCCCCTATTCCTTTGGTTTTACCCTCCCTGGTCTCCTCTGTCTTGCTGGCCTTCTCTTCCCCACCTTTAGGCTGGGCCAGAACCTTCGTGACTCAGGGCTAGGATTGTTATTGACAGCAGAAAGGCCAGCACACGTACGTTGCCTTCTGTCTAGACCTGAACCAGTCATGTTTTATTTTGCCCCACTCCCCCTTATGGGACCTTTGCTGGGAGGTCAGATGGGAGGGCAAGGCTGGAATAGACCTTGCCTCGTGGAGAGGATTCACATTATCTGTTCTGGCCACAGCGTGGTCTGCAGGGAGGCCCGTGAGGAAATAACTGTGGAGCTGCCCTGTCTGTGGGACCCTTCTGTATTTGTGGGAGTTACTGTGTCCTTCGTTCCCTTTGGATAGGATTTAAATGGCCATGGTCCTGTTCGATCTTCTGCCAGCCACTTCTGGCCCAGTGTCAGCATAAGAACAAGCACAAAGGGCAGGAGTCCAGAGCCATTCATGTTGCTGAGGCCTCTGTTGGCCAGGAAACTGGCACTGCCGCGTATTAGGATTCTCTCCCACCAGATGCACGTGGGGTTCACATGCTGAGCAGAATAGTAGGCACCGTCCCACCCGGGATGCATCCCTCCTCTTAGCCCACCTAGCCCTAGGCCGCTCTCTTCATACTCCTCTGCGTTTTCTTAGGTCCAGGCCCAGGTGATCCAAGAGACCATCGTGCCCAAAGAGCCCCCTCCAGAGTTTGAGTTCATCGCAGACCCCCCCTCCATCTCTGCCTTCGACTTGGATGTGGTCAAGCTCACAGCTCAGTTTGTGGCCCGGAATGGGCGCCAGTTCCTGACCCAGCTGATGCAGAAAGAGCAGCGCAACTACCAGTTCGACTTCCTCCGCCCCCAGCACAGCCTTTTCAACTACTTCACCAAGCTGGTAGAACAGTATACCAAGGTACCTGGGCCTGTGGGCCGGGCCCGGGAAGGGAGGCGTCTTACTCCGTATACTCCATCCACCTCACGTTTACAGGGACACCACAGATGTTAAACATTTCAGTTTTGGGCCAGAGAAATACCAAAGGGCTTAAGGTGCTGGGACCGGAGCCATAGTTCAGTGGATAGGGCTCTTGCCTTGTATGCATCCAACTCAGGTTCGATCCCTGGCAACCCCATATGGTTCTCCGAATATACCAAGAATGATCCCTGAGTGCAGAGCCAGTAGTAACCCCTGAGCACTGCTGAGTGTGGCTCAAAAACAAACCAAAAAAGGGCATAAGGCGCTTGCCTTGCATTTGGCCAACCTGGATTTGATGCCAGCACCACACATGGTTCCTATGAGCCCTCTCAGGAGTGATCCCTGAGCACAGAGACGGATAAGCACAGAGCGCCCATGTGTGGCCCCCCAAACAAAAAAATATTCCAGTTCAGAGCTAGAGAATAGATCAGAGAACTGGAATGTATGCTTTACATGGCACAGCGGGTAGCGTGTTTGCCTTGCCGACTGGGCTGACCTGAGTTCGATTCCTCCGCCCCTCTCGGAGAGCCCGGCAGGCTACCGAGAGTATCTCGCCCGCACGGCAGAGCCTGGCAAGCTCCCCGTGACGTATTCGATATGCCAAACACAGTAACAACAGGCCTCATAATGCAGATGTTACTGGGCCCGCTCGAGCAAATCGATGAACCACGGGAGGATAGTGACAGTGACAGTGAGTCCCACTAGGTGTGGCCTCAAACCCCTGCTCACCCCACTCCCACACACACCACCAAAAAATGTCCAGTTGAATATGAGAATAAGCAAGTCCTTAATATTTATTGCCTCTTGTTACTTAATTTATTCTCACAAGAACACAGGAAAGAGGTGACTTTGCCTCATTTGTAAGAGCAAAAACGGGCTGAGAGAGGTGAGGATTCCTATTATTTTAGTCTTTTCTCTCTCTCTCCCCCTCTCCCTCTCTATCACTTCTCCCTCCCTCCCTTCCTCCCTCCCTCCCTCTTTCTCTCTTTCTCTCTCTGTCTCTCTCCCCCCTCCCTTCTCTCTCTCTCTCTCTCTCTTTCTCTCTCTCACACACACACACACAGAGCTAGGCCTAGGGGTTGCTTCTGGCTCTGCTCTCAGGGATCTCTCCAGGCAGGGCTTTGGGGGATCATATAGAGAGCTGGGTATCACGCCCAGGTTGGGCATGTGCCTCGTGCAAGGCAAACGCCCTACCTGCTGTAGTATTGCTCTGGCCCCTCACAGTATCAATTTTATGTGGACTCGAGTACATGTCCCTAAAGAAACTGCTTTGAGGGTAAAGCTACCCCAACATCTTTTTCTTTTGTTACTTTCCCTTTTTCCCCCTTGAGTAACAGGCAGTACTCTTAACTTAAAGATGCTGGTGACTATCTCTGGTCATGAAGAAACTCTTAGAATGGGTAGATTCCTGGGAAGGGGTACAAAGAGTATGAGACAGAGCCAGAGCGATAGTAGAGCGGATGTGACATTTGCTTGCATGACTTGTGCCGTAAGGCCCAGCATTTGATCTCCAGCATAGCAGAAAATACAAACTGGGTTAAGAGCAGAGAACAGTGATCTAGGGAGGTGGGATTGGTAAGCTGTGCCCTTAAATAGATGATCAGGGGAAGCCTAGTAATGCATACCAAAGGATGGAGCACTTTCTCCCCAGAGAACAGCGTGATGTAGGGGCTGGACAGGCTACCACTGGTCTTGTTAATAAGCGGGTGATTGAAATTTTGGTATGCTAGGGATTGAACCCTTGATCCCTGATAGTGTTGAACACCAGCACAGGGCATGGGAGATAGCTCAGTGGAGGAAGCCCCAAGTTTGATCCCCAGAACCACATGCTTCCCAAACACAGGCACGGCTGGTGTGCCCTCTGAACAGACCCATCAGGGCTGGAGCGAGGAGATAGCAGGTAGGGCGCTTACCTTGCACACGGCCAACCTGAGTTTGATTCCCCAGCACCACATATGATCCCTGTGAGCAACTCCAGGTGATCCCGAAGCACAGAGCCAGGATCAGCCCTGTGTACTGCTGAGTGTGGCCAGCACTTTTCGTCTTCGTTCTCTGTGCTTGGTTTTGTGCACTTTCCTCCTAATCCTCTCAGAAGCCTTAAGGTTGTGTGATACCAACTTTAGTGGTGTCAGCATTGGTATAAGGAAACCAGGTTAGGGAGGTTTAAGGAACTCCCCCAGATTCAAGCCAACTGGAGCTGGGACCTAGATCTCGTGCTTTCTCACAGTCCCTGATAGCTCTGGAACTGCACTGACCACATCTCTGACTCACCTGTGTTTCAGATCTTGATCCCACCCAAAGGTTTATTTACAAAGCTCAAGAAAGAGGCGGAGAACCCCCGAGAAGTTCTCGATCAGGTAAGCTCAATTTCTCCAACCAGTTCTTGTTGGTACAAATTATGTGAGTTGGTTTTTGGTGGGTTTTTTGTTTGTTCTGTTTGGCTTTTGCACCACACCCGGCGTTGCTCTGGGGCACTCCTGACTCTGCACTCAGGAATCAGTTTTGGTAAATTCAGGGGACCATGGGATGCTGGGGATTGAACCTGGCTAGAGTGTGTGTGCGGCAAATGCCCTACCCAGTGTCCTTTCGCCCCAGCTTCCATTCCGTGAGTTTTCTTTCAAGTTTGGAGATAGCCTGGCCTGGCTGGGTCACAGGCAGAGGAGAAACAATGGGAACAGAGCCTTGTAGCTTGACCAGAGGATCTGCTGCCTCTGCTCCCCAACACATTGTCCTTCGATTTTACTTCTGGCTTCCTGGGCTCTCCGTCTTCCCCACCCTCCCTGGAAGCCAGTCCCTGCAGAGCGCTGCCCTTTGAAGCGCCACGTTCTCAGTTTCCCGGGGTGGCTCTGTGAGGCCCCTCTCAGTCTGCGGCATTTGGCTATTCAGCCGACTTCTGGAGGGAACACGGCTCCTTCCAGCTCTAGCAGAGAGCGCTGTGGTTAGAACAGATGACTGCCCTTGGGGCCCAGATGGAGGTGTCTGGTGTGTATAGTTTTCTTACTGTCCAAACTCTGGGCCTGCCTGGAAGTGGATGCACCCGCCACAGTTCGTGTGTGCAGAGTAGTCTCTGGTCTGCCAGCGGCACTAGCGTCAAGAGCTGGCCTCGGAGGGACACGCCTCCCTGGGAGCTGAGCCCAACTGGGTGTGTGTGGCACCTTGCTGCTCTCCATCCCCACAGGTGTGCTACCGAGTGGAGTGGGCCAAGTTCCAGGAGCGTGAGAGGAAGAAGGAAGAGGAGGAGAAGGAGAAGGAGCGGGTGGCCTATGCACAGATTGACTGGCACGATTTTGTGGTGGTCGAAACGGTGGATTTCCAACCCAATGAGCAAGGTAGGTCAGTGAGGAGAAGTGACTCTGGATGGGGAAGAGGAGCTTGGGGCCATCTCGGGAGCCCTCATACAGAGAGTTTGGAGGGACCAGCAGCACCCCCCCAGAGGGCTCTGTTGGGGCCTTGGCCCTCTCTGCTGCCAGCTCTTACCGTACTGCTCCGCTTAAACCCAATTTGACCAGTGTGTGTTGTGCAGACCCCAGGTGTGCAGTCGGCCAGCCTCGGCCCTGGGGAGAGTCACCACCGCTGAGGACAGGTGGCCCAGGTCCAGGTGTCTGGGGCATCCCTCTGACTCTGGCTCCCCCTCTGCCAGGGAACTTCCCGCCCCCCACCACCCCAGAGGAGCTCGGGGCACGAATCCTCATTCAGGAGCGCTACGAGAAGTTTGGGGAGAGTGAAGAGGTTGAGATGGAGGTTGAGTCTGATGAGGAAGATGAGAAACAGGAGAAGACCGAGGAGCCGCCTTCTCAGCTGGACCAGGACACCCAAGTCCAAGACATGGACGAGGTATGCTGTCGCGAGGCTCGCTGGGAGGACCGTTTCCGCAGGAACAGGCCTCCGGAGATGGAGCCTGGCGAGGGGACGTGGGCCCCAGACGAGGCTATTCTGGCTGAGCCGCTGCCCGAGCCCCAGGAGCACAGAGCCTCTGCCCAGCTCTGGCAACAAAGCTGCATTCATAGATGAGGCTCTGAGGGCTGGGCACTCCCCGTCTGCCTAGAGGCCCTGTCCCCACTGCCTCCACACCAGCTCTCGGTGAGGGATCCCCTGCACCACAGACAGGCTTGGGTGCATTTCATCTTCATCCGAAGGATCCTTCGGCACTTCCCAGAGCTGTCCTGAGGGCTGCCTGTGCCTCCCTCAGGCCACCTCTTACCTCCTTTTTCCATGCCCTCCGTGCCGGCCTGGCATCTCCAGAGCCAAGTTGCTTTCCTCCCCTTGGAAAGAATTTGTGTACCGCCCGAGAAGAAAGGGCCCCTGTGTCTGTGGGAATTGACTTTTTCTCTTCCTCCCAGCAGCACTGGTGAGCAGCTTCCATTGAGTGCCGCCTTGCCCCCTACCCCACTCCCCAGTGTGGTCAGCGCCCTTGGCCTCCTGGGACTGCCCAGTGCCAGCTGCTGGAAATGCCTGGGCGGAGTGTTCACACCACAGCCCCCGGAGCTCCCATTCATGCTGTGAGGAAACGGCTTGGCCAGCTGCCGGCTGGCCTCAGCCGCCCTGGGAGGCTTAGCACATGCACTCTGGCTGGCAGGGACCTGGGCTCCTTGCCTCTCGGAGTTCTTTGAGTCCTGCCACTGCGGTTGCTTTGCAGGGTTCAGATGATGAAGACGAAGGGCAGAAAGTGCCCCCACCGCCAGACACACCCATGCCTCCGCCTCTGCCCCCAACTCCAGACCAGGTCATTGTCAGGAAGGACTATGACCCCAAAGGTAAGGCATGCCTTCCTGCCTGTCCTCTGATTTGCTTCTCCAGTGGCTTCTAGCAGTTGCCCAGGAAGGCACCTGTGCCCCTATGTCACGCCTCGGTGAGGAATGGGACTCCGCTTCCTCTGTTGTTTTGGTGCCTTGTATTTTGTCAGGGACTGCAAGACCCTTCAGATGTGTGGTGAGGGCCAAAGGATAATACTGGGGAGAAGGTGCTTGCCTTGCATGTGGCCTGCCCCAATTCCATTTCCCAGCATTGCATATGGTCCCCTAAGCACCACTAGGGGTCACACCCGAGCCAGGAATAGGTCCTGAGCACTGCCGGGTGTGCATATCACCTCACCAACACCACCGTCCCCCAAAAAAGATGTGATGGACGAATGATGTGTGAAATCACCTTCTTTTAACCAGACTGCCATCTGGTATTCTCACTCAAACATGTTTCCTTTTAGCCTCCAAGCCCCTGCCTCCAGCCCCAGCTCCAGATGAGTATCTGGTGTCCCCCATCACCGGGGAAAAGATCCCTGCCAGCAAAATGCAGGAACACATGCGCATTGGGCTTCTCGACCCCCGCTGGCTAGAGCAGCGAGATCGCTCCATCCGCGAGAAGCAGAGTGACGATGAGGTGTATGCACCAGGTGAGGCGCCCCCCCCCCCCCCCATATTCCCCCCTATCCCCATCCCTCCCATCCTGACTGGGAATTGCCTAGAGACGGGCACCATGTTTGACGCAAATGTAGGAAGCAACAGTTGAGCTTCACAGACGCTGCTGAGGATAGGTAGAGCCCATCCTACCTATCCCTCTTGATAGGGAGCAAGAGCGCCCCCCACTTCTCACAAGGACTCCCTAAAAAGACAGTTAAGGCAGAGAGATAGTAAGGAGTCTTACACGAGGCTGACCTGGTTTTAATCCCATCGGTGACACCACCTGTGAGCATAGAGCCGAGATAAGCCCTGAGCATAGTCTGGTGGACTGGTCACAGGCTCCAGGGCCTCTCACAGATCTGGTTCTGGCCCAAGGAGTGCTTGTTTCAGACATGGCTACCTGTGCCTGTGCTGACCAGGTGAGAAGTAGCAGGAGAGGAGAATGCTGAACAAGAGATGTCCCAGCTCTGCACTTGGGTCTTGTGGCCTTGGCCTCTTGTTGGCGTTTCTGACTCACTGTCCTAAGCGGAGAGATGGGACATGCTCCCATACCCAGGCTCAGTGCAGATTGGATGACCTCCTGGAACCCGTGGTCAGCCTGATGCCACAGACATGCCTCCTGCAAATCAGCAAAGACTCTGGCACTTTCTTAGTTTCCCCATCTGCACTGTGCCTCTATCCTCTGATCCTCCCCAGGTCTGGATATTGAGAGTAGCTTGAAGCAGTTGGCTGAGCGTCGTACCGACATCTTCGGTGTGGAAGAAACTGCCATTGGTAAGAAGATTGGCGAAGAGGAGATCCAGAAGCCCGAAGAAAAGGTGAAGTGCTGGTAGAACTTAGTACCCCCCATCCTGATGCCTCAGAGTTCCAGGACCTGTGACAAATGTCAGCTTGGCTTCCATTTTGCAGGTGACCTGGGATGGCCACTCCGGCAGCATGGCCCGTACCCAGCAGGCTGCCCAGGCCAATATCACCCTCCAGGAGCAGATCGAGGCCATCCACAAGGCCAAAGGCCTGGTGCCAGAAGATGACACCAAAGAGAAGATCGGCCCCAGCAAGCCCAATGAAATCCCCCAGCAGCCTCCCCCGCCGTCTTCCGCTACCAACATCCCCAGCTCGGCCCCACCCATCACCTCGGTGCCCCGGCCGCCCGCAGTAAGCCAGACCCCCTTCTTGCCCATTCTCTAGAAGTTGAGTGAGAAAGACCCCTCTCACTGAAAGTGGGGACCTCTCGCCACAACCTCTGGTTGTCTGGAAGGAATGGAACTGGTCAGGGGGCAGTTGACAGCTGTGAGAAGCAGGCTTGGGGCAGAAAGGGGATAGAACTCAGTTTGTGAGGTCTGCTGGCCCAACTCCTCGGTGGCTCTCAGCATCTGCCACTAGCCACCAGCCAAGTCCTAGGAGCGTTGCTTTGGGCAGTTGTCTGTGGGACAGACTTGCCGCCCCAGGGCGTGAGTTGGGGCACCCCACTTGGGTCCACCGGAAGCCGCTGGCGGCGGCGTGTGCTTTTGAGCTCTGACTTTGGTTTTCTCTGCTCTCCAGGTCTCTCCCCTGCAGATGCCGCCTCCTGTTCGTACCACAGTCGTGTCTGCAGTGCCTGTCATGCCTCGGCCCCCGATGGCCTCTGTGGTCCGATTGCCCCCAGGCTCGGTGATCGCCCCCATGCCGCCCATCATCCATGCACCCAGGATCAATGTGGTACCCATGCCGCCCTCGGCACCTCCCATCATGGCACCTCGCCCACCTCCCATGATCGTGCCAACAGGTCAGTCCACCGTGCTGCTTGGTTTGGGGGCATCCAGGCTGAACAGTGAATGATGGCAGTGCTGCCTCTTCCTGCAGAGAAGGGGTCAACCCAGAGGAGGGCCTTAGCGTCCCCATGTGAGAATTGGGGGTGCGGGGAGTCGGGCGGGGGCACAGTTCTGAGGTGAGATGGGAGGCCATTATGTCAGAGCCAGAGTGTCTGTACCCAGAGTGCTGAAACCCTGAGAGATGCTTCTAGTCCATCCCTGTCCTCCTCCAGTCTCCAGTGTGGGCAGCCTCCCAGGTGCCCTTGCCAGGGAACCTGCTGTGGCTGCCAGGCTCAGCCCGGAGCGGCACTTCACGCCTCTGGCTGAGAAACAGGAAACCTTGGCACCTTCCCCCACACTCCTCGCCAGTCCTGGGTACCGGTCCCTTCTCCAACCTGCAAACCTCTGCTTGTTCCTATACTTGCAGCCTTCGTGCCTGCTCCACCCGTGGCCCCTGTCCCTGCCCCAGCCCCGATGCCCCCTGTCCACCCGCCACCTCCCATGGAAGATGAACCGACCTCCAAGAAGCTGAAGACGGAGGACAGCCTCATGCCCGAGGAGGAGTTCCTGCGCAGAAATAAGGTGGGGCCTGGGGTATCTGGATAGGGAGATGGGGGTGTTGGGATCCTCTCTTGCCCATGTCATGCCTCCCTGACCCACTCTGCTCTTTTCCCATGGTTTTTACTGATGGAGCCTAGGTCGGAGTGGGAAGTCTGTTACCGGTTCTAAGCACCTACTAGATGTGGGGTCAGCAGTTGGAGGGGTGAACCAACGGGTAAACAGCTGCGAGCTGTCATTGTGGCCTGTCAGCTGCAGACGTTGGGGGGAGGAGGGTGCGGGGGGTTGAGGTCCCCCCCCGGGCCAAGTTCTGGATGCCTAGACTTCATTTTTCTGCCCCCCTCCACCTGCTATTGTTAGGAGGCCTGTCTATTGTGAGGTTCCTTTTAGTGTGGTAGGAATAAGGGGGGCAGGAATTTTGGTCCTGCCTAGTACCTCAGGAAGCGGGGTACTAAGTTCTGGTCCATGCCCCTGGTGCATTCCATCGAATCTCCATCTTCTTGAATGGTGGCTTCCGTTGTTCAGGTGCTGAAGCAGAGCTGCCCAAACATGACTTTATGTTGTGTCTCCAGAGTGCTCACACCAGCACGGTGTCAGGCTAATCCCTCAGGCCAAAGTGGACACCGAGGCCAACCTCCCAGCTCGTGTGCATCCCCCTGTGATGTGTCTTGGATTTGGCCCAATATTTCCAGGCTTCTACTTCAGCCCCCATCCACTTGAAAGAGCTCTCTCTGTTTTATCTGCCTTTTTAATCCCTGTTACAATGTTTATGTCCATAGCTTTGATAGGCAAAGTTACTGTACCCCACTGCCAGGCAAGTGACCATTTTCAAGGAGAGAGAGATTGTGGGCAGGGGTCCAGAGGCCAGAAGCATGACCTTGACTAGACTGAGCCAGAGATAGGGGAGAACAGTGTTTGCTTGACTCCAAAGTTCCCTAGGCTACTGGCCACCACCTGTTTTTCAGGGTCCAGTGTCCATCAAAGTCCAGGTGCCCAACATGCAGGATAAGACGGAATGGAAACTGAACGGGCAGGTGCTGGTCTTCACGCTCCCTCTCACAGACCAGGTATGCATGGCATTTGCCAGAGGGTCTCAGGTGCAGGGGGCCCTTGGGGCCAGGGGACAGTTAATCAAGTGAGGGGGGTGAGTGATTGATTTCTCTCTGATTTCACAGGTCTCTGTCATCAAGGTCAAGATTCACGAAGCCACTGGCATGCCTGCCGGGAAACAGAAGCTGCAGTATGAGGTAAGTTGGGGCAGCTGTGTCCTGGACTTGGAGTCCCCAACCCTCTCGTCCCAGGAGCTCAACTCCCCCCTGGGAACAAATGGGGCGGCTCTGGGATGTGGCCCATCTGAGAGGTGAGGCAGCTGACTGGAGGTGCTGGGGCAGGTGCCCCTGATGGTCCGGCCCTGTTCAGCCACACATCCGCATTAGGGATGGAGATCTGGGGAGAAGGGTTGGGAATGTTCGGAGAGTTGTTAGCCTGGTGGGGAGCCCACTGGGATCTTGGGGAGCCTGGCTCCAGTAGGGACATGGGTGCTAATCCAGCTCAGCCCGGTGGCTTCCTCTCCTGAGCACTGACAAGTCTCCGCTCGGGCTGCGGGTTCCTGCTGTCATATGAGATGGCTGCTACAGGCCTATGATTTGGAAATCTTAGTTCCTTGGGATTGGGCCTGGCCAGCTTTTAGGGACGAGCGTAACTTGGAGTAAAGTAAAGCATTTGGGGAGGAGTTGGAGCCCTCTAGTCTAATCCTCTAGGCCCCACTTCACTTCTCTATAAACGCCTCTGTTTGCTAAACCTCGGGGCTTGGGGACCAGTGGTCAGGACCAGGTTGCCCCTCACCCGGGCACTCTGTTTTCCAGGGCATTTTCATCAAGGATTCCAACTCGCTGGCCTACTACAACATGGCTAATGGCGCTGTCATCCACCTGGCCCTCAAGGAGAGAGGCGGGAGGAAGAAATAGAAGCGAGACCTGTCAGGTCCCAGCTGTTGCCACTGGGTCCCTCCTCTCCTCCCATCTCCTGTCCCACACCCTGGAAACTCCGCTTGCACATTTTTTCTCCCTCCTACCAAGTTTGGAAGTTGTCACTGACCTACAGTGATTCCTTGCCCGGGCCCACCCTCCCTCCTGTGATGAGCTGCGGAGCTTTCCGAGCCTCCGCCCCGTGAGCTCTGCAATCTCGCTGTGTAAGCCTCGGTCTGCAGGGGCGCCATTTCTTCAGGCAGCCTTTTAGAAGGTAGGAGACGCAGGATAGATAGCACCATAGTGCCAGGTGGTGCTTCAGTGATAGTATGTCGTAGACCTTTGTCATTAATCATTTTGTATCTTACCCTGTGCTGTCTAATAAACTTCTTGGACCCTTCTCGTGAAATTCATTGATATGCTAAGACTTGACCACCGCCCTCCCACCGCCCCAGGCTCTTGCAAAGACTACTGCGACTCTAGCGAAGTTCTTGCTGTCAAATCTGAATTTTTTTGTAGAATTCTTTTTCTTTAAAAGAATGTGAGGGGCTGGAGTAATAGTAGAGAGGGTAGAGTGTTTGCCTTGTACATGGCCCACTTGAATTTGATCCCCAGCATCACATAGCCTGTCCAGGAGTAAGCCCTGAGTACCACAGGGTGTAGCCTGAAACCAAAATAATAAATTTAAAGAGAGACCAGAGATACAGCAGATAGGGTGCTTACTTGCATGTGGCCAACCTGGGTTTGATCTCTGGCATTCCGTCTGATCACCAGGGGTAGTTTCTGAGCACAGAGCCAGGAGTAACCCCTGAGGATTGCTAGGTGTAACTCAAAAACAAAACAAAAAGGTTGAAAGACTGATGAGACAGTACCGGGGTAAGGAGAAAGCCCTGAGCAGTGCTGGGCTTGAAAGGATTGCCGTATTTTACCTTGTAATCTCATCACTGCATAGTCATTAGACTTTTAAAGTAATATCAGCACTTATTTTTTAAAGCTTCACACCTCACTTTTGCAGAAACATTTGTCATAAAATTATGCAGTGAAATGTGTGTTTTTGCTGATCTTTTAAAGCATTGAGATTCTTCAAAGACATGACCTCTTTTAAAAGGATACCTTTACGGCCTAAACTAGAGAAGATCAAGGAAGGATGGGAAGTGGTTGCTGGAGTACTGGGCAGCTGAGAGACATGTACACGTGAGACTCCGGCTAGAAGTTTCCTGTAGGTCTGGAATCATCCATCCCCGAGTCATTGCTGACCTTGGAGTGGAGCTAGGGAGATGGCTCAGAGAGGCCTGGGTTCAACCCCTAGCATCACTTGGTCTCCCCAGCTTCTGAGTGCTGTGCTAAAAATAAAAGCCAAAAGCAATCCTGGTGGGCAAAACCAGGCTCTGGATTCTGAGAAGACAGTCCAGGAGGTAAGGCTCTTGCTTGCCTTGCTTGTCCACCCAAAGATCAACTACCATCAGGGAATCACCCCTGAGCTCAAGACCAGGAATAGTCTCTTGAGCATCAATGGGGTGTTCCAAGCCCCTCTCCTCACAGAAAGAATCAGGCTTGTTTTGTTACCAGCAATGCACAGGGACTACTTCTGGCCCTATGCTCAGCTCCTAACAGTACTCAAGGGACCATGTGGTTCCCAAGATCATGCCAAGTGTGTCCTTTGAGCTCTGTCTCTCCAGCCCCTTGTTCCTTCACAGGGAAGTACATGTACTGTTGGTGTTTGGAATGGGAATGTGAGAGCCTGTTGATAACTTTTCCTGTTTCAAATCTAAAGCTGGTTACATTCTCAATATCTCACTTATAATTAGCTCCTGAGAGTTTCCTGTTTCTTCCATTTAATTTTTGAAACTATCCCATGGGAACCTGCAGGGTTCAGAGGGTCATTGCCAAAGTCACAAAACCATTATTCTAGCCACTACACTACCTTCTATCTCCTGTCCTCAGCCAAACTCAATTTTCTTTTTTTCTTTTTTTTTCTTCTTGGGTCACACCCAGCATTGCACAGAGGTTATACTCCTGGCTCATGCACTCAGGAATTACTCCTGGCGGTGCTTGGAGGACCATATGGGATGCCGGGAATCGAACCTGGGTCAGCCGCGTGCAAGGCAAACACCCTACCCGCTGTGCTATTGCTCCAGCCCCCAAACTCAATTTTCAATCCCTGCAGCCAATAGTACAGCAGGTAGGGTGTTTGCCTTGCATGAGGTCAACTCAGATTCAATCTCTGGTACCCCATATGGTCCCCCGAGCCACACCAGGAATGATCCCTGGATTTAGAGCCAAGAGTAAGTCCTGAGCACCATTGGGAGCACCAAAAAACATTTTTTCCCCCCAATTCCAGACCTAGGAAGCCCAGTAAGCTCTTACACAATTGTATGTCTCTAGCACAAAACTATGAATTCGTGATTTTATTCCTCCCTGTTTAATATTTGTTTTACAATTGCCTGATACAAGTTTGGTGTTTGTTTCTTAACAGCTTGCTGGAGCTGAAACTGGGCTTTAGGAAACGGGCGGGCTTCATGTTCTGGGGGCCTAGAGTCTGCCTACTGCCCCCCCTCCACTTCCCCCACTCTGAGAGGATGAGAATGAGGAGGCATGAGGGAGTCCCCCACTGCAAGTTCTCCTTCCCCACTGGGATTAGCTTTGGGGCTATGGGACCCAGGGCGTGGTGTCAGGTCACTCTCTCTCAGGCTCTCCCTGAAGAAGCCAGTGATCTGACACCAGGAATGCAGCTGGGCGGAAAGGGAGTGAATGGGGCCTTTGAGCCATGCTCTAGGGCACAAGCCCAGTTTCCTGGAGCTCCTGAATGAACATCTGTGTTGGCTCATACCACTCTAGAAGGCCCATTGACCAGGCGACCTTGTGACCACTCGTTGTCACAAACCCAGCCTGTAGCCCGGCGCTCGGCCTCCTTGTTGGGGCCAGCAGCATGTAGGCAGCAGCTTGCCAGTGACACAGCTCTTCCGACTCGCTTTGATCCTCTGGGGTTTAACAGGGCCCTTACTTTAAACAAGAAAGACCCAGGCAGCCAGCACTCTGGAAGGCCCACGCAGCTCATCGTCCTCCGTGCCTGGCGACCACTCTGTCCTCACCACTTCACCAGAACAAATAGGACAAAATGATCCCGTTGTGGGATTGTTGGGAAAACTCTAGGCTGGATGCTCAGAGTTGCTAGATGCAAATTACCTGAACAAAGGATTCTGGGAGTCTAGACAGTAAGGAATTTTAGTTTCAGTTGCCCCAGTGGCTTGAAATGAGCACTTGGCCTTGTAGCTCAGAGAAAGCCACTAAGTATTAAAACCGTTTGACCTTTTTTCCCCTTTATTGTTAGATTCCTGTGGTGCTGAGGATCAGACTCAGCATCTCGCACATTTAAGGCAGGCACTCTTACTAAGCAACAGACCCTTTTTACTTCTTAAAATTACATTGTGTTAGAGAATTTATGTAAAGGTTATGTTCGGTTCTTTTAGGAAATAAGCTTCAGTGGAAATCTATATAGTAATTAGAACAATTCTTGGGTAATTTTTACTTATTTCTGCACTAAAGCAAAAAGATCACTTATCAAGGGAATATATACTTGTATATGATGATATGTATACTGAGCACTACTGAGAGTGACACCCTAACACTGCCAGGTGTGACTCAAAAAAACTAGTTTACAATTTTTGTGTTTTTGAAGAACCACACCCTGTGTGCTCAGGGCCCACTCTTAGCAGTGCTCAGGGAACCATATGTGGTGCCAGGGGTTTGTCACATATGAAGCAGGTGCCTTATTTCCTGTACTATCTCTAGCCTTTTTTTTTTTTTTGCTTTTTGGGTCACACCTGGCGATGCACAGGGGTTACTCCTGGCTCTGCACTCAGGAGTTACTCCTGGCAGTGCTCAGGGGACCATATGGGATGCTGGGAATCGAACCTGGGTCGGCCGCGTGCAAGGCAAATGCCCTACCCGCTGTGCTATCTCTCCAGCCCCTAGCCTTTTTATTTTGGGACCACACCCAGAGGTGGTGGAGTACCCTGTGGTTCTGGGGATCCAACCTGAGCTTCCTTGCTTGCAAAGCATGTGCTCCAGCTCTGAATTGTCTCTCAGTTCCTAGTTCTGCATTTAAAAAGTATATATAAAAGTCAAATGTGGAGCCAGAGTAACAGTACAGTCGGTAGGGCATTTTGCCTTGCACATGACTGACCCGGGTTCAATCCCTGGTATTTCATATGATCCCCCAAGCACTGCCAAGAGTAATTCCTGAGTGCAGAGCCAGGAGTAACCCATGAGCATCACTGGGTGTGACCCCAAAAAGCAAAATAATAAATAAAAGTCAAATGTAAAATCTTAAGATTGTTTCCCTGGCTGGTAATTTTTTTCTTATCTGTTCTCCTTGGTTATTTACCCAAAAAGTGTGAGCAAATTCAAGTCGCTTTGAGCCATATAATCCCTGAAGCTGGACAAAATACATTCCAGTTCCTTATCATATCATTACCCATTACCGAAAAGATACTATTACACTAAGTGGCATTCAATTAGGCCAATCAATGTTCCCTATCCCTGAGTTGTGATAAGATCGTAGAATGGGCATGTGTCTCTGTTACAAAGAGATGATGCACAAGGGAATCAGCTGCCACACCATTGAATAGAAGCCACCAAAAAGTCTACATGTGGATGGATGGGAGAAGGATGTCATCCTGAAGCTGTTGCCATGGGGGCTCTATCTTTAGGATGAGGCAGCCATAAAAGGAAGACAAAAGAAAGGAAAATGAGACCAGTAACTGATGATAACTCTGAATCTGATGATAGCTTCTGGGCCAAACATCCTGAAGCTTTAAGTTTAAACTAAAATCTTTGAGTTTAAACTACAGGACTCACAAAATATTGTATGGATTTGAGTTCATTTGGGTTCTGGTTCTTACCATTGGGACCAACAAATTATTTTTTGTTGGAGGGGGGTTTGGGTCTTTCCCAACTGTTCCAAGATATTCCTAGCTTTGTTCGGGATCACATATGGTGCTGGGGATCAAACTTGGGTTGGCCATGTGTAAGGCAAGTACTTACCCCCTGTATTAGCTCTCTAATCCCTGGACTAACAGTTTCTATACTTTTGTTAGTTTGCTTCTTTTGGTTTTGGGGTCATACCACCCCTCTGCTTGTCAGGACTTACTTCTGGCTCTGAGCTCAGGGCTCATTCCTGGTGGCGTTCAAGGGAGATTGAACCCAGGTTGACTGCGTGCAAGGCAAGTGTCCTACCTAATGTACTATTGCTCCAGCCCTCTGGAGCTTCTAAAATGGAGCTTCTGAACAGCTTCTAAACTGTTGTCCTTAGTGTTTGGACAGAAGAAGCTTGAAGGATTCCATCCATTCTTTATAGGCTGCTGCACACCAGTTTTCTACTTTCCCAACTTCAGCCCC